TCTCTCTCTCTCCCATATATCTCTGTCCTCTCCCACCCAATACTTCCCTTCCATTCCTCTCCCATCTCTACCCCTCCCCCCTCCCCACCTTCCCTTGAGCGGGTACCTACCCATAGGCTGCACAGTAGCCCGGCTGTAGGTGGTAGTGGGCCAGGAGCCGGATGTGGGGCTGGCTGGTGGAGATGACGGTGATACACCCTGGCACTGGCCCTGCTGGCAGCACCAGGCACTCCCCCCGCACCTCGTTCCTGCCGGCACACACACACAAGCGTTAAACATCGGCTAGTGAGCCGGGATCCAAGAGCTTGATCCCTGCGGGTACAAATAGCATGAATACACAAGCTCCACCAGCAAGGACGACCATAACAGTGGAAATAAAAATGCATAAAAAATCAGGGAGAAAAAATCAGTAGAAGCCGTAAAGAGGATTCGAACTTACACGTCTACAGTTTTCCTTACAAGTGGTTATGGCCTAACAGGAAGGGGAGGTCACTACAAAGACTCATCTGAAGATTACACAAAGATGATGAGTAAGTATGAAAGGAACGATGAGTGAGCGCAGGACCCCGTCCGAACACTCGGACAGGCAGCAGGACCCCCGTCCGAACACTCGGACAGGCAGCAGGACCCCGTCCGAACACTCGGACAGGCAGCAGGACCCCGTCCGAACACTCGGACAGGCAGCAGGACCCCGTCCGAACACTCGGACAGGCAGCAGGACCCCGTCCGAACACTCGGACAGGCAGCAGGACCCCGTCCGAACACTCAGACAGGCAGCAGGACCCCGTCCGAACACTCAGACAGGCAGCAGGACACCGTCCGAACACTCAGACAGGCAGCAGGACCCCGTCCGAACACTCGGACAGGCAGCAGGACCCCGTCCGAACACTCGGACAGGCAGCAGGACCCCGTCCGAACACTCAGACAGGCAGCAGGACACCGTCCGAACACTCAGACAGGCAGCAGGACACCGTCCGAACACTCAGACAGGCAGCAGGACACCCTATCAACAATCTGACTGGCTACAGAAAATGTCCGACAAGTGGCTACAAGACTTCAACACCAGCAAGTGCACAGTAGTGGCGTCTGGCGCCGAGCAAAGAAGGAGGCCAGAGGCATTCCCCCCCCCCCCCTTACAGGAAGACCTCTTAGGCTATGTAGCCACAGGTAGAGGTAGAGGTAGAGGAGGATGTAGTCAGTGAATAATACATATGTAGAAACATATGTAGATGTGATGATTCCAATAGTGCGTGGTTGCAGATGATTGAAAGGTGAAAAGGCGGGGCCCAAGAGCAAATGATCCGTTCTGCTAGCACAATTAGGTGAGTACAATTAGGTGAATTTAATACGCAAACACACAGGCAGACAGACACACACACACACACACACACACACACACACACACACACACACACACACACACACACACACACACACACACACACACACACACACACACACACACACACACACACACACACACACACACACACACACACACACACACACACACACACACACACACACACACACACACACACACACACACACACACACACACACACACACACACACACACACACACACACACACACACACACACTCACACACACACTCACACACAGCTGCAGTAGTGCCAGTTTAATCAACTCTACAGTAAATTCTTGGCTTTGAGGAACGAGATAATTGGCAGGAAAGGTATTCTGAGAATTATAATTAATGTTACTTTGTCAGTGTTAACTTTTGTATTGAGAATATGTCTCTCTCTCACCCCCTCTCTCCCTCTCTCCCTCTCCCTCTCTCTCTCCCTCTCCCTCTTCCTCTCCCTCTCTCTCTCTCTCTCTCACCTATTCTACACCTCCTGCATCTATACTAATTCTCTGGCCATTTCCTGAGAGAATTTATGGACTCTGTGGTTTAGGAAAGTTATTAAAGTAGTCTTGGAGGCTGTGGATCATTCTGCCAAAAGTTTACGTTAATATTTAAGCGAAGGTTTTTTTGCTTCGTATTTTGCTTAAGGATAATATGGTTGTTCCCAGGCGCGCCTTCTACGACACCATCTTGAAGGTGAGTTTGTTGGTTAAGATGGTGTCGTGTCTTCACTATAGCTGTTGTTGATGGTGAGGATGGTTGCGTTCCTTGTTTCCTCTGTTTCTCTCCCTTCCTCTCCGTTCCGTGTTCTTCATTGTTCGTTTTTTCCTGTCTTCCGTCACCTCACCCACCTCCTCACTCCCTGTCTTCCGTCACCTCACCCACCTCCTCACTCCCTGTCTTCCGTCACCTCACCCACCTCCTCACTCCCTGTCTTCCGTCACCTCACCCACCTCCTCACTCCCTGTCTTCCGTCACCTCACCCACCTCCTCACTCCCTAGTCCTTCTCACTTTATTCTTCTTCGCTCTGTATTTCCCTCTCTCTCTCTCTACTTCCCTCCGTCCCACTATGTCTCCCCCCACACACACACACACATACACCCCTCCCTCCCACACTCCCTCCCACCCTTACCCTTCCCACCCCGTCACTTCCTGTCCCGTCAGCAACAGATTAAACAACCTGTCCCTTCCTATCGCTTCACCGTGATGACGAAGATAAAAATAATAAAAAAAAAAGGTCCTCCATCAATTTACCTCTTGTTACCCCCTTATAAGCCACTAGCTAAGACACTCCACTCTTTAATTAAACCAGAAAAGCATCAAACACCATGAAAAGGCCAACCTAACTGCCCCTAATTAGCGGGTGTTCATATTAGATTGTTGTCAAGCGCTCTCCTCCAAGAAATGTGTTATTATGTTATATTTCTGGAATATAGAAGGAGCCTTTTGACTCTGGTGGAGATTGATATTTTTATGTTATTTGTTTTTGTACATGGAATATAGGTAGAGAGAGAGAGAGAGAGAGAGAGAGAGAGAGAGAGAGAGAGAGAGAGAGAGAGAGAGAGAGAGAGAGAGAGAGACCAACAGATAAACGGAAACAGTGAGAATATGGAATGAATCTTTTGACGCAATTTCTCTTTGAGGGATACTCGATGATCTTGATTCCCTGAAGTATTCATTGGCTATTGACGTGAGCGTAGAGTACTGGGCTGAAGTGAGCGTAGAGTACTGGGCTGAAGTGAGCGTAGAGTACTGGGCTGAAGTGAGCGTAGAGTACTTGGCTGAAGTGAGCGTAGAGTACTGGGCTGAAGTGAGCGTAGAGTACTTGGCTGAAGTGAGCGTAGAGTACTGGGCTGAAGTGAGCGTAGAGTACTGGGCTGAAGTGAGCGTAGAGTAGTGGGCTGAAGTGAGCGTAGAGTAGTGGGGGCCAGATTCACGAAGGTACTTACGAATGTTCTTCCTTCTTAGCGCCTCCGTAGCGGCTACGTCGGTATTCAGGTAGCTACACTAAGAAGGAAAACCTTCGTAAGTTTGCTCCGTCAGCTAAGTGTGCTGTCGACCACTCGTAGCTTTACGTAAACTGGATATAACTCAATTTTTCTCTACTACACGACACGGAGGATCGATTTAATTATAAAAAAGATTTTAGCTTGAGAATTTCGTCAAGCGGCGTCCTTCGTGTTAGTTATATATGCATTCTCTGCTGGAAACTTGCAGTAAATATGTCTTTTATGATAATAGAATTAGTTTTATAATAGCAAGATGTTATACTAGTAGTTATTAAGTAAATAAACACCGGTGAACATGAAATGTGAGAGAAGGTGATGAGCCCTGCCTGATGGGAGCATTTACTATCACCAAGTTCACCTAGTAATCAGTATAGATGGGTATGTATAGCTAAGGTACACACCTTATTTTTAATTTATTTTGTTTGTTTTTATTTTGAAATTAAATCTGGATGAGATATAAAATAAAAATATGCTGCACAAATGATGTTAGGTAAGGGTAAAAACTTGAAAAACTTTTCTCATTGAATGCTTAAACCTATAATTATGACTATATGGACTATTAAAATAGAGAGAGAGGGAAGTAGGGGTCCAAGACCTCTTCCTGTTACACAGTTTGGGTGTGGAACAAGTAATTATCAAAAGAAGGCACCATGCCGGGAAGGCTATGTAGCAGTAAGGCAGTGAGGTGAGGCAGCTACTTATTTTATTTACCTTATAAGCTGAGGCAGCTTATTTTATTTGAGAAATTCTCAGCTGATTCCTCTACATTTAGCATGGAACAAATTTATGTCCAAGACCTCTTCCTGTTACACAATTTGGCTGTGTAACAATCAGTAAGTAATTGTCAAAGAAGGCACCAAGCTGGGAAGGCTATGGAGCACCATTGTGTGTAGCAATAAACCAATTTTTTTTTTACAAATAATGCACCTGTGAGAAACAAATCTTGTCAGCTGTAAAAATATTAATGCAGTTATTAAAATAAAAAATATATCTTTTTATTCTAGCTTTTTGTACTGTACAGTATATCCAAAGAAGTGAAAATTTGAGACATAATGCACAATTTAATGAATGATTCAAAAGAAATATGACTATTATACATCAACATGAGATCTTAATGATCCATGGTTAACATGATTTAATAAGGATAATATTGGTAATAATACAAACTATAATTTAAAATCTTTATTACTGATATTTTTGCATTAAGAAGCTTAGGTATACACAGCAATGTGCTGCTACCCTATTCTATATGGAATATTACACAGTGTAGATCAAAAACTAGCTATAAGTTCATCTAATACTCCCATCTCACAGGATGGTTAGACATACATGGAATCAGGGGAGAAAATACCAGCCTCAATACACAAAACAAATCAACTCTGACTAAACAACTTCAGGATTTTCACAAGAGGTAAGCACTGAATAACGGAAACATTATATTATAATTACTCTTACCAGTTTCTACAAGACTCCTCTCAAACAATGTATTTTTTAGCATGTTTAGGTATACACACAGCAATGTCCTGCTTCCCTATTCTGTATGAAGGACCACATAGTCTAGATAAAAAACCAGCTACAAGCTCATCCAACATCCCCACCTCACAGGACGGCCAGTCATACATATTATCAGGAGAGAATAAAATATGTAAGGCTGATCTATTAGCCCCCACTGGGAAAATCTGGGTACAGCACAAGAATATCTTCCAATATTCCTAAGTGTATGAAGTAATTACAGAGCTCAAAGTACCTCATACCATTTGGTCTGAAGAACGGAGAATGATAACAAAGGTTACCTCCCATATTTTGTTTATAATTGTTTGTTTACAAGTCTTGTTACACTGTTTGCTATACAGCTGGTTACAAAGTTTCGTTACAAGGCTGGTTACAAAGCTTCGTTACAAGGCTGGTTACAAAGCTTCGTTACAAGGCTGGTTACAAAGCTTCGTTACAAGGCTGGTTACAAAGTTTCGTTACAAGGCTGGTTACAAAGTTTCGTTACAAGGCTGGTTACAAAGTTTCGTTACAAGGCTGGTTACAAAGCTTCGTTACAAGGCTGGTTACAAAGCTTCGTTACAAGGCTGGTTACAAAGCTTCGTTACAAGGCTGGTTACAAAGCTTCGTTACAAGGCTGGTTACAAAGCTTCGTTACAAGGCTGGTTACAAAGTTTCGTTACAAGGCTGGTTACAAAGCTTCGTTACAAGGCTGGTTACAAAGTTTCGTTACAAGGCTGGTTACAAAGCTTCGTTACAAGGCTGGTTACAAAGTTTCGTTACAAGGCTGGTTACAAAGTTTCGTTACAAGGCTGGTTACAAAGCTTCGTTACAAGGCTGGTTACAAAGTTTCGTTACAAGGCTGGTTACAAAGCTTCGTTACAAGGCTGGTTACAAAGTTTCGTTACAAGGCTGGTTACAAAGTTTCGTTACAAGGCTGGTTACAAAGTTTCGTTACAAGGCTGGTTACAAAGCTTCGTTACAAGGCTGGTTACAAAGCTTCGTTACAAGGCTGGTTACAAAGCTTCGTTACAAGGCTGGTTACAAAGCTTCGTTACAAGGCTGGTTACAAAGCTTCGTTACAAGGCTGGTTACAAAGCTTCGTTACAAGGCTGGTTACAAAGTTTCGTTACAAGGCTGGTTACAAAGCTTCGTTACAAGGCTGGTTACAAAGTTTCGTTACAAGGCTGGTTACAAAGCTTCGTTACAAGGCTGGTTACAAAGTTTCGTTACAAGGCTGGTTACAAAGTTTCGTTACAAGGCTGGTTACAAAGCTTCGTTACAAGGCTGGTTACAAAGTTTCGTTACAAGGCTGGTTACAAAGCTTCGTTACAAGGCTGGTTACAAAGTTTCGTTACAAGGCTGGTTACAAAGCTTCGTTACAAGGCTGGTTACAAAGTTTCGTTACAAGGCTGGTTACAAAGCTTCGTTACAAGGCTGGTTACTGTACGTGTTACAGTCTGCCAATAGTTACGTGACCATTACTAACAGTATACAATCCTGATTGTTTTATTTTCTTTATTTCATTGTTTTGTTTACTTATTGTATAAATTATTTGTTTATTAGTTCATGAGATGTATTTTTTTCTTCTGAACGTTACTTTATTATATTTTATTGGTACTTTATAAAACACTGTTTGTATACATGGACAATGCAGCTTGTATACATGGACAATGCAGTTTGTATACATGGACTACTGCATATAGGCTGTAGACAGGGGAACACTATGTATAACTCAGCAACATGTACACAATATATGTATATGCACACCTTGTATAGTTGGATATAAATAAAATACAAGACAGTTTAAAAAATAAATCAATAGATTATACCGTATTTTCCCTTCAGAATTAGAACGAATATTTCTGGATACTTTGTTAATTATTATTTCTACAAAAGAATAAAAATAAATGTTAAATATGTTAATATTTTGGGGCTGAGCAGCAGAACGAGTTTACAGGTGTGGAGGGCAGCCCCTTTAGGTTACAGGTGTGGAGGGCAGCCCCATTAGGTTACAGGTGTGGAGGGCAGCCCCTTTAGGTTACAGGGGTGGAGGGGCAGCCCCTTTAGGTTACAGGTGTGGAGGTCAGCCCCTTTAGGTTACAGGTGTGGAGGGCAGCCCCTTTAGGTTACAGGTGTGGAGGGCAGCCCCTTTAGGTTACAGGTGTGGAGGGCAGCCCCTTTAGGTTACAGGGGTGGAGGGCAGCCCCTTTAGGTTACAGGTGTGGAGGGCAGCCCCTTTAGGTTACAGGTGTGGAGGGCAGCCCCTTTAGGTTACAGGTGTGGAGGGCAGCCCCTTTAGGTTACAGGGGTGGAGGGCAGCCCCTTTAGGTTACAGGTGTGGAGGGGCAGCCCCTTTAGGTTACAGGCGTGGAGGGGCAGCCCCTTTAGGTTACAGGTGTGGAGGGCAGCCCCTTTAGGTTACAGGCGTGGAGGGCAGCCCCTTTAGGATACAGGTGTGGAGGGCAGCCCCTTTAGGTTACAGGTGTGGAGGGCAGCCCCTTTAGGTTACAGGTGTGGAGGGCAGCCCCTTTAGGTTACAGGCGTGGAGGGCAGCCCCTTTAGGTTACAGGTGTGGAGGGCAGCCCCTTTAGGTTACAGGTGTGGAGGGCAGCCCCTTTAGGTTACAGGGGTGGAGGGCAGCCCCTTTAGGTTACAGGGGTGGAGGGCAGCCCCTTTAGGTTACAGGTGTGGAGGGCAGCCCCTTTAGGTTACAGGGGTGGAGGGCAGCCCCTTTAGGTTACAGGGGTGGAGGGCAGCCCCATTAAATTAAGGTAAAGAGCCACTAGTACAGGAAGAGGTGCTATAATATATACAAATACAGGTCAAAATACAAAAATTTTATACACATCGACTTATGGGCTTATATTCAGATACAGGAACACATACAGAGGCTTGTAAGATACAGTTAGAGGGAGGGGCGCCGGTGGGAGGTACAGAACAAGACGAGGAGATGAGCTTGCATGATACAACAAGGCCGTGAGACAAGCCCGTGAGACAAGCCCGTGAGACAAGCCCGTGAGACAAGCTCGCGAGACAAGCTCGCGAGACAAGGCTTGATGCTCAGTGCTTGGCCTGAGCAGCTGGCTGGCTGGCCTGCTCCTCCCTCGGGGCACTGAGTGGAGGATCAACCCTGGGGTGAGTGACGCTCCCTTGAGGCGGAGGGGCACCGTCCTTCTCAGCCAAGGAGGAGCAGGACACCTGGAGGGCGAGGTTGGAGTAGCAACCATGGTGTAGAAATGACGGTCTACCACCTTCACTACTTCCTCCCTCACTTCTCCCTCTAGCCCTACCCTCACCATCACTCTCTTCTCCCTCATTCTCGGCATTTCTCTCACTACTCCTGGCGACGCCCCCACCTCGTCCTCCAACACCTCCTCCCCCAGGAGCACGACCTCCAGCACGCCCTCCAGCACGACCCGGGGACCCTCCTGGTCGTCGGGACTTGAAGGAGAGGGTAAGGATTCGCGTCAGGTCGTTTCTCTTCTTCCGTCTCAGTTCCCTGAAAATATTTCAGCGTCTTGTTCAGAGTTCAGGCGAGAGGCCCCTTCAGGAAGGGTGTTCAACACCGTGCAATGCAGAGACAGCGATAGATAGCTAAGCAGGCTGATAGATAGACAAGCAGGGTGATAGACAGGCAAGCATAGCGATGGACAATCAGAAACACACACCCGCACACACACACACACGCACACACACACACACACACACACACACACACACACGCACACACACACACACACACACACACACACACACACACACACACACACACACACACACACGGTGTCGTTGAACATAACGAGGTGTTTGTGTGTAACGAGAGCGCTCCGTCACTCCAATCAGGTCATGCGCTCAACTCAAGGCTTAATCTGGGTCGAAGTCGGTTTTCCTTGACTTTTATTTTAATTAATCGGTGTGTGCGTTTGTGCGCATGTGTGGGTGTATTTACTATTTGTGCCTGCAGAATCGAGCTTTAGCTCTTGGACCCCGCTTTACAAACCAATGTATTTTTCCTTTATTATATCTACTGCAAATATTTCTCTCTGACACACACACACACACACACACACACACACACACACACACACACACACACACACACACACACACACTTAATAAGTTGAGAGGCGGGCCGAAAGAGCAAAGCTCAACCCCCGCAAAAACACAACTAGTACACAACTAGTAAACACACACACCAGGAATATCATCCCGTAGCAGCTGTCTAATTCCCAGGTACCTACTTACTGCTAGGTGAACAGTTGCAACATGGTGAAATAAAACCCTGCCAATTTGTTTCTGCCTTCTCCGGGAATCGAACCCGGGCCATTAGGACTACGACCCCCGAGCGCTGTCCACTCAGCCGCGAGGCCCCAAGTGTGTGTGTGTGTGTGTGTGTGTGTGTGTGTGTGTGTGTGTGTGTGTGTGTGTGTGTGTGTGTGTGTGTGTGTGTGTGTGCTGGGGACGTCATTTAGAGAGTGGTGTCACTAGACCAAGAACTTCAGTACACACTAAAAGGATTGCACTTTAGTTCTGGTTGAACTGTCCATCACAATACTGAGAGATTTAGGTGTGAGGAAGGGACTTAGTGCAAGAGGGGGAGAGAGAGAGAGAGAGAGAGAGAGAGAGAGAGAGAGAGAGAGAGAGAGAGAGAGAGAGAGAGAGAGAGAGATATGCAGGAGAGAGAGAAAGAGTATGGGAGAAGGTTGCCCATTGCGGTACGAGAGTTTGGGCCGCCTGCGCGTCCAAGCTGCGCGGTACCAGTCAGCTGAGAGAATGACGATGTTTACGTCGAGATGTTCGGCGAGAGCGGCAATTATTTAACTCCAGACACGGTACGTTGTGAATTTGTTGTTGCCTAGAGTAATTAGCTTGTCCGGGGGCTCACTCTGTGTGGCGTCCCACTGTGGTGGGGGCGTCACACTGTGGTGGTGGCGTCACACTGTGGTGGAGGCGTCACACTGACAGTGGCGTCACACTGATTATGGCGTCGCATTGTTGGGGATGTTATCACTGTTGGTGGCGTCACACTGTGGTGGTGGCGTCACATTGTGATGGTGGCGTCATACTGTGGTGGGGGCGTCACACAGTGGTGGAGGCGTCGGCGTCATACTGTGGTGGAGGCGTCCCAATGTGGTGGACGTCACAATGTAGGTACAACCATTACAGGGTACAGTAACGGTCCTGTTCCCACAGTGGGTTTCTGGCTGTATTACACTAGGTCGTTACAGCTCAATTATATACCCCAAGGTGAATAAACACTGAGAGCTTAATTCTATCCTGAACTCTGGGATTACAGCAGCCTGCCCATAGTTAGGTCAAGGCTACTTTAGGTTAAGGTTGAATTAGGTTAGGTTTCATTATGTTTGGTTATGTTAATACGGTGTATTATTGATGATAATATGAAAAAGGGAATTCGAAACCTATTTTAGTGTACCCGAGAATTCTGGCTACAGAAGACTAAATTCTTAAAAGAAAACATTTCGAACATAGACTTTATATTTTAAACTAAAGATTTATAGTGACTTTTTATATTTTAAACTAAAGATTTATAGTATAAAGTTATAAATATTATAATATTAAAGTTAAATTAAAAGTTATAATATGAGAATAATCTGTTTAAGACAATAGTTCACTTGCCAGTTTACATGTAGACAATGGAACCGTAATATACTTTAAGACAATCACAGATGTCTTAGATAATTATCCAGGTGGTTTGAGGGGCAGGGGGGGGGGGGAGTTGTTTCTCATAGTAATGGATAAGGTCAGAGGAGGAACTCAGTGTAGAGGCAGGCTGGAATATGAGGTACACTGTTGCCTTGACTGATCCTGGCAGCAGATGGCTCTTAATCTGTCAAATCCCCGTCAAACTGTGTTACATAAGGGGAGAGGACGCCAGTGGTAGCAAGTCTTGTGTTGTCGGAACTATACCAATGACCATTAAGGCGGTGTTGAAGCCTTCGCCAGGCGTATGACAGGGCGGTCTAGTGATAAAAAAATTTCGGCTAAACTTCAGCATAGAAGCTTTTGAGTTGTAGAAAGAGAACAGTAGAAGGAAAGAGGGGGCACTTACACGGCACCTGGCTGGGATACCCATGTGCATGTGGAATAAGCTCAAATGTTCCAGTAGATGAGAGGAACTGTCAACATTGTTGAGAAATGCCCGACAGACCACTGAAACATTTCCTAAAACAGTGCAGTTACAAATAAAATCAGATTACCACTGAGATTTAAGCAGAAACAGTTGACTCTCACACTGGATATAACCTTACTAGAAGCAGCATGTCATAAATGCTTATCCATTGAATTAGAAACACTAAAATGAGTAGCATGTAGCAAGGTAGCCACATGCTTAGGACCTGCGCAGGAATACTCACGAAAAAAGCTGATAATGTGTAACGTAAATAATGACTTTTGTTCTGATTTTCAATGCATTGTAAATAGCGAATAATTACATATTTGAGAGATCCGCACTGCCCACCTACCTCCTCCTCCTTCTCTAAATGATTGGATAGTTAAGTTTCTAATTTGAACTGCCCCCCGGGTGTGATCTGGGCCAAATAGGTCAAGCTGAACCCTCCTCATTGTAACTAGTGTCTTGTTGGACCAATAGGTTTGGCTTCAGCTGTGTTGTGGATGCCCAGAGGTGTAATATTGCCTAATGAAGGCATAATGTAAATGTGATTTTGACTCCTTGCTCCCTAACACTACCTCTCCCAGCCTTCCCTCCCTCAGCTGGGAGGGAAGGCTGAGGGAGGGAAGGCCTTCCTCTCACTCGTCCCTTCCATTCCGTCACTCACCTCCTTCGCTCCATCCACTGCATGCAGATGACGGCGACAATGATGATGAAGAAGAAGGTGAAGATGCAGAGAATGAGAAGCCAGACGGTAACGTCGAGGGAGTGGGACTCCACCGTCAGGCGGTCCTCCTCGCTCATGACTGCCACCGGTGCGCCTGGAGCCAGTAAGTCGCTTCCTTCTAAGGGCACGCCGCTGCCAAGGGTCACACTAGGCTCTAGAGCCTTGTTCATGGTAGGTGGGATGCTGGTCACGGGGGCTCACTTCATCTGTCTTTCTAATTTTGTTTACATTACCGTACCCCCGGTTCCTACCTGTGGCTGATAGAACATATATATATATATATATATATATATATATATATATATATATATATATATATATATATATATATATATATATATATTATATATATATATATATATATATATATATATATATATATATATATATATATATATATATATATATATATATATATATATATATATATATATATATATATATTAGTTGATTTTATACCCGCATTAGGTCAGGTGATAATACAATGAAGGTGAAAAACATGGGGGGATACATAAGGGATAAACATAGGGGCTGCAGAAGGCTTATTGGCCCATACGAGGCATCTCCTATCTAAACACAAAGATTAATCCAGTGTAATTGGCCTGTTATGTTGGACATTGTCTTCTGTGTTGGCATCGATATGTTCTTGTCTTGTATATATATATATGTCGTACCTAGTAGCCAGAACGCACTTCTCAGCCTACTATTCAAGGCCCGATTTGCCTAATAAGCCAAGTTTTCATGAATTAATTGTTTTTCGACAACCTAACCTACCTAACCTAACCTAACCTACCTTTTTCGGCTACCTAACCTAACCTAACCAATAGAGATAGGTTAGGTTAGGTTAGGTAGGATTGGTTAGGTTCGGTCATATATCTACGTTAATTTTAACTCCAATAAAATAAAATTAACATCATACATAATGAAATGGGTACTTTATCATTTCATAAGAAAAAAATAAGAGAAAATATATTAATTCAGGAAAACTTGGCTTATTAAGCAAATCGGGCCTTGCATAGTAGGCTCAGAAGTGCGTTCTGGCTACTAGGTACGACATATATATATATATATATATATATATATATATATATATATATATATATATATATATATATGATATTAAACAAATACATACATTTTAGATTTAATTAAAACTAAATTAAATTTAAATCTAAAATGCAGTATTATTATTGCATTGTTTTGTATTTTTCTCTAACATATAGATGCGTTAATGAAATATAATTCCGATATATCAACTTTTGGGCCGCCCTTAACATATATATTATTCTGCGTTTGGCAACTGAAAAGAACTTTTGTTCTCGTTGATCACTATATATATATCTTTACGCTCATGTTTCTTATCCTTGACTTTATTGCAATCTATTTTGCATCTTGCATGGACGTAAGTGTGTGCATTAGCCTGCCTCACTGTTAATTAATAGTCATACGTCTGGCACTAAGGCACAATATTGCTTCATCGAACTTCTAATAATATAATAATAATAATAATAATAATATGATATTAGACAAATACATAGAAAAAAATATTTTGAAGCAAATCGATGTTGTTAGACAGGATTCGTGACTCAGAGACTCAGATCAAGCCTCTTTAGAAGAGAAGATGTTGTTTGTGTTAAATTCAGCCACTCGGAACAAACAGTTCCAAGTATAACGGGCTATGGTGAACCCGTAGTGGACTTGCTAGAACAGACGAGATCTGGCCGGTCTCTGTGTATCCTATAAGGCTAAAAGAAATTGCATACCTCTAATCTTCTATTCTTGCAAATAACGCCATTATATATCTCTCTGTGCCACACAGAGATAAGTCTGCACCGCGCCAGGATATGTTTCTGTGCCACACACACACACACACACACACACACACACACACACACACACACACACACACACACACACACACACACACACACACACACACACACACAGTAAACAGTTGATTGACAGTTGAGAGGCGGGCCGAAAGAGCAAAGCTCAACCCCGGCAAACACAACTAGGTGAATACACCTGAGTGCTACACACACACACACACACACACCTGAATGCCACACACACACAGTAAACAGTTGATTAACAGTTGAGAGGCGGGCCGAAAGAGCAAAGCTCAACCCCCGTAAAGACAACTAGGTGAATACACCTGAGTGCTACACACACACACACACACACACACATCGAATTTATCGATGTGTATCGAATTTACTCAGTTTCTATGATCGGGCCACAGAGATATTACAGGAAAGAGATGGCTGGGTTGACTGCATCTATCTGGACCTAAAAAAGGCTTTCGACAGAGTTCCACATAAGAGGTTGTTCTGGAAACTGGAAAATATTGGAGGGGTGACAGGTAAGTTTCTATCATGGATGAAAAATTTTCTGACTGATAGAAAAATGAGGGCAGTAATCAGAGGCAATGTATCGGAATGGAGAAATGTCACAAGTGGAGTACCACAGGGTTCAGTTCTTGCACCAGTGATGTTTATTGTGTACATAAATGATCTACCAGTTGGTATACAGAATTATATGAACATGTTTGCTGATGATGCTAAGATAATAGGAAGGATAAGAAATTTAGATGATTGTCATGCCCTTCAAGAAGACCTGGACAAAATAAGTATATGGAGCACCACTTGGCAAATGGAATTTAATGTTAATAAATGTCATGTTATGGAATGTGGAATAGGAGAACATAGACCCCACACAACCTATATATTATGTGAGAAATCTTTAAAGAATTCTGGTAAAGAAAGAGATCTAGGAGTGGTTCTAGATAGAAAACTATCACCTGAGGACCACATTAAGAATATTGTGCAAGGAGCCTATGCAATGCTTTCTAACTTCAGAATTGCATTTAAATACATGGATGGCGATATACTAAAGAAGTTGTTCATGACTTTTGTTAGGCCAAAGCTAGAATATGCAGCTGTTGTGTGGTGCCCATATCTTAAGAAGCACATCAACAAACTGGAAAAGGTGCAAAGACATGCTACTAAGTGGCTCCCAGAACTGAAGGGCAAGAGCTACGAGGAGAGGTTAGAAGCATTAAATATGCCAAAACTAGAAGACAGAAGAAAAAGAGGTGATATGATTACTACGTACAAAATAGTAACAGGAATTGATAAAATCGACAGGGAAGACTTCCTGAGACCTGGAACTTCAAGAACAAGAGGCCATAGATTTAAACTAGCTAAACACAGATGCCGAAGAAATATAAGAAAATTCACCTTCGCAAATACAGTGGTAGACGGTTGGAACAAGTTAAGTGAGAAGGTGGTGGAGGCCAAGACCGTCAGTAGTTTCAAAGCGTTATATGACAAAGAGTGCTGGGAAGACGGGACACCACGAGCGTAGCTCTCATCATCCTGTAACTACACTTAGGTAATTACACTTAGGTAATTACACCTGAATGCCACACACACCTGGCCACAGCCCCCAGTATCCCCTACCGACCTAAAACTTTAGCTATTCCTCTCGTCGCAATGCGCATGTTGATGTTAACGCCTTGATGATTGATTAATCAAGTGCTAACAGATTGTCGTTGAGATCAGAGCTGTCGTCTTGTGGGGCCACGGGGGAAAAAAATAAAGAGTCGGGTGCAAATGATTGATTAGCGACGCTTTCCATCCATGATTGATTGTTTATCACTGTGTTCATTCTTAGCCCCGTTATAGAAAATGGAGAGCGTCGTTGTGTTGCAGGGGAAACACCAGGAATTTTTACACTTATTAATAATTTATATTTTCGCTATTACTATCGTCATGATGACTAATATATATATATATATATATATATATATATATATATATATATATATATATATATATATATATGTTTGTTCATTTGACATTATTCTCTTCAAACTTGTTTCGTCCCACACACGCGCGCGCGCGCATGCGGCTGAGCACGGTGCATATTCTTCGATTGTGTGAAAGCATAAGTCACAAGAGACCACTACTGACGCTATAGAAGCTGGCTGGTGTGGGTGGACAAGTGCCTGAGGTGATGAGGGAGTTCCTCAAAGGATGGAAACAAAGAATGATAGTGAGAAAGGGTAATACCAGAGAGAGAGAGAGAGAGAGAGAGAGAGAGGTAACGTGCGTAGTGCCTCAAGGGTATTTCATCAAGATGGAAGCCATTTTCTTTTCTTCATATCAACATTTATTGATGTTGTAAGATGCACAACAGAGAGGGTACTGTAACACCCAGCAAAGTAACCCCTAGACATTCAAGTGGTGAGAATGTCAACCTTGACATTCAGTAAACAAATGGCTACTTGACTTTAACCTGGCCAAATGCAAGGGCATGAGGAAGGCCCAGGAGTGTAAAGACCTGTACACTAGTTTTTAATGAGACAGATTCTTTGATTGTTAAATGTATCTTGTGTTGGAGTTAGCTAACCTGTTCCATAATTAATAATTTAGCTACGCTCGGCGATATAGTGTCACTATATCGAGAAGGTGTGTGGGCCGACGCCTCTTATCCTCTCACCTAATAGGTCACCTAATAGGTCACCTAATAGGTTGTTCCTTCACCTCACAAGTCCTCCGTGATGTGATGTGGTGAGAGATCACGTGCTTGCTTGCTTGCTTGCCAGGTGCAGTGATTAAGACTTGAGGTTATCTTGAGATGATTTCGGGGCTTTAGTGTCCCCGCGGCCCGGTCCTCGACCAGGCCTCCACCCCCAGGATGCAGCCCGTGACAGCTGACTTACACCCAGGTACCTATTTTACTGCTAGGTAACAGGGGCATAGGGTGAAAGAAACTCTGCCCATTGTTTCTCGCCGGCGCCCGGGATCGAACCCGGGACAACAGGATCACAAGCCCAGTGTGCTGTCCGCTCGGCCGACCGGCTCCCTTGTTGGTGGAGTAATTATGACATGGAAGTAATTAGGTCTGTTTCCACAGACATATTTACTCTTGTCACCACCACCATCATCACCATCACCACCATCACCATCATTATCCTCACCACTCTCAACAACCACACAACAACTCTTGCGATACTTTGCAAGAAAAGTTGCATCCTTTCCTGGCTACCATTCGCACTCTTGTCGAAATGAAAGTCGCAGAATCAAATTATTACGGGACATTTGCGTTGTTTGGTGAACATTATAGGCACGAGGAGATAACGAGAGTGGGTGGAAGAGAGAGAGAGAGAGAGAGAGAGAGAGAGAGAGAGAGAGAGAGAGAGAGACAGAGACAGAGAGAGAGACAGAGAGAGAGAGAGAGAGAGAGAGAGAGAGAGAGAGAGAGAGAGAGAGAGAGAGAGAGAGAGAGAGAGAGAGAGAGGAGACTGGGTAGGTCCATTACTTAACTATTAATGCCAGGTCTATTAATAAAATGGTATTATTTTATGTACCGACTTCTGATATCTCCTTTGTATATTCTTGATATCTTCTTTGTATATTATTGATGTCTTCCTTGTATATTCTTGATATCTTTTTTGTATATCCTTGATATCTCCTTTGTATATTCTTCAAATACTTTTCCTGTGCATTTTCCGCTGATATCAATGATTTATTTTGATAACTCGATATCACCCATCACGGGTTTTCGTGGTCACTGAGACTCTATTTTTTGTTCACTTTGTGTTCAGGGACAATATATTTTTTTCCTCCCCAGGAGTGAGAGTGGGCCGGGGTGACCCAGTGTCGGCGCCTCTGTGTGTGTCCTGTTGTGTTTACTGTCAATATTGACGGTGTTGGAACCCTTGTTGGGGGGCTTTGGGAAGTCTGCCCCAGACGTTCAACCGAGCAACTCCTCGAAGGATGGAATCAAAGAATGACTGTGAGAAGGACTACTGGTAAGTTTTTAAGTTTTAAACCAGTTTTTTTTACCAGTTTTAAAGACAAAACTGGTAAGACTATAGGCTTCTGGTTAAAGTGTATCAAAATCACACTCAGAAATCACAATTGCGTGATGCATCAAATGAATAAAACCATGTTTTGTCCATGTCGTAGCTCGGTCGATTAAGGCAGCGGCGTTTGGGATGCTCTCGGACGCAGGTTCGAATCCTCGTCACGGCCCTTGTGGATTTGTATCAAAATAAATGTCAAAATAGAGAGCATTTGATACTGTCCCCACCTCAGAGACTCACACTCAGGCTAGGAAAAGGCAGGCTGCTGGTCTGTTTAAAAAAAAGTGCTAGAAAGTGTGTGTGTGAAGGAAGTGCCTCTCAGGAAGGAAACAAAGGGTCATTGTGAAAGCAAGTGACCTCAAAGAGTGGCGAGAGGCAACGAGCAGAGTGCCACAAGGATCGGTACGTGAGACCATCATATTTCTAACACGCGTCGGTGATTTAACAGGAGAAACTAGCTCCTGTATATCAATGTTTGCAGATCATGCGCAATTAAGGAAAATCCCGGAACGGAGTGAGACCGCGATACCCCTGAGGGCGATCTTGTCACTAAAAAGCTAGTCGGAGAAATGGCTTCTAGATCTCAATCCAGTTAAGTGCAAATTATGAGGTAGAAAGATGAGTGCTGAGGGAACCTTTAAACAGACATAGCCCCAGATATAATGCCAGAAGCATGTATTAACCATATCAATAACATGTGCCATACTGGCCAGCGAACGTATAGCGTCCAGATACTTGGAAGAAAGAACGTTTCACCACCTATGTTAGACTCAATCTTAAATATGCAGCCCCGACATGGAACCCTCACCTGTGGGAAAAGCACAAGACAAAACTGGAAAAGGTCCAGATTTAAGCAACAAGGCTGGTTCTTGAGCTGAGGGGCGTGAGTTATGAGGACAGGCTGTAAAGACTGCAATTCCTTTTCACTAGGGAATACCGGGGGAAGACATGATAGCGACGTAGACGATTCTGAAGAGAATTGACAAAATAAACAAAGAAGCATTGTTCCGAAATAGAAACAGCAGAACGAGGGAGCATAGATGGAAAATAGGAACACAATGGTTGTTGTGTTAGAATCAACTTGTCTAAAAATGGTTCAGAAAGTAGTGATAGGAACCCATTATTGGTGTTTATTTTTCAGGGGTGTTCCTGTGAGAGTCCCAACGTGGCCTAGGGCCCGACCCTGAGGGCACCCATGGTGGGCCCCAACCCTGTGGGCACCCATGGTGGGCCCCGACCCTGTGGGCACCCATGGTGGGCCCCGACCCTGTGGGCACCCATGGTGGGCCCCGACCCTGTGGGCACCCATGGTGGGCCCCGACCCTGTGGGCACCCATGGTGGGCCCCGACCCTGTGGGCACCCATGGTGGGCCCCGACCCTGTGGTCACCCATGGTGGGCCCCGACCCTGTGGGCACCCATGGTGGGCCCCGACCCTGTGGGCACCCATGGTGGGCCCCGACCCTGTGGGCACCCATGGTGGGCCCCGACCCTGTGGGCACTCATGGTGGGTACTCCTGACCTCCATCCAGCACCTCAGTGGTGCCATTGTTGCCAATAATAACCGTAGTATTTAACATAGTTAACAACTGCCAATAAACTGCATAACACTGTATGTCTGTAAGTTCCTGGACATTAACGCCTTAATGCGTCCACTGGTTAACGTTTGTTCCTCGCTCTTCTGCTCACTAGGTGTAATATATATATATATATATATATATATATATATATATATATATATATATATATATATATATATATATATATATATATATATATATATATATATATATATATATATATACCGGTCTATTTTTTTCTTACATTGGCCAATACAGTACTAAGAAAAAAATCGGTAAATTTCGGTTACGTAAAGTTGCTAAGTTATTCTTGGTTCAAATTACACAAAATTATTATCTCGTGTTGATATGAATGCATCAGTCAAAACGTAGGGAGGAGGGGGAAAATAACAAATAATTTCACACAAAAAAATAATAACTTCTCTGTAGCGCAGTGGCTTCGTCCGACGTTCACCACCGGAAGGTAAATACGTCAGCAAGCCTAACGTAACCTACATGTAACTCCGTATATGTGGGAACTGAGCACAGGCGCCAGGGCGGGCCGTAGTGTCATGCCCTAGGGAACTACACATAGCAGAAGGTCCTTCGTCTCCTCCTCTCACCACAACACAACATTAGACACTGGTGACACTGGTGACACTGGTGGCACTGGTGGCACTATCTAGTCCACATCCGCTCCCTCCCTCCTTCCCCTGTCGTCAGCACATGTGAGTCTCGACGCCTCATGTGATCGCGCTTAGGAACCTGGTAGGAAGTCGCAGGAAGGGTTGGGGTGTGGTGCAGGGACGGCAAGTGGATTGGATGGAAAGGGCGAGTAGGAATACCGATGCTTCTCGAGTGCTTAGACACAACTGCAGGTACACGTATGCCTGTTACACGTGTGTGGGGGGGCGGGGGAACGGCACAGATGTTAGCTTCACCACCCGCAAGTGTGTGTGTGTGTGTGTGTGTGTGTGTGTGTGTGTGTGTGTGTGTGTGTGTGTGTGTGTGTGTGTGTGTGTGTGTGTGTGTGTGTGTGTGTGTGTGTGTGTGTGTGTGTGTGTGTGTGTGTGTGTGTGTGTGTGTGTGTGTGTGTGTGTGCGTGCGTGCGCGCGCATCTGGTTCAGCTGGCAAGAAATCTTTTTTCTTCGAATATTTAATAAATTTGTTAAAATTAAATAAATGGCTGATACTATAAGGTTGTGTGTTGTTGTTGTTGTTGTGTGGGGTTATTGGGAGTTAAAGGGATGGGGGGATGGGGGTTATGTTGGTACTTTGTGTGTGGAGGAGTCTCTCTCTCTCTCTCTCTCTCTCTCTCTCTCTCTCTCTCTCTCTCTCTCTCTCTCTCTCTCTCTCTCTCTCTCTCTCTCTCTCTCTCTCTCTCTCTCTCTCTCTCCCATACAAGATAATGAAAGCCCGGTTGTTTCACCTGTTTATTATTATCACAGTAGAAATTCCTATATAAAAAAGTAATCCTGAAACAGGACAATTTTCTTCATTACACCGTGAGAGTAACCCAAAGCAAACTAGCCTCTACCGCCTCACCACACAGAGGCGAGAGTCCGCGCCTCACGCTCCAAGGAACAACACCCCCCTCCTGTCTCGTTCCAATACATACGTAACAAATACGATGAACTACAATGCTTGCCATATCAATGCCAATCACAATGATGAACATCGCAATGAACAATGAACATCGCAATAATATCAATGTGAACAATAAGAAGCACCGAGGCGATAATTAACAACCAAACAGCCCAATTAAGCAGGGGGGAAAGATGTAGTTCCTTGCGGTGGCTTGCGGGGTTGTGGCAGTTCTCCATTCCGCTCTACAAGACGCTCTTAAACCTTAAGAATACAGCTCAATCTCACTTAAGAAGGACAATTAGGGAATATTATACACGCCTTCCTTCACTATGTCAATAATTAAATGGTGCAGAATTATACAAAATAAGCTTAAACGTACAGTTTGTAAATTTCACTTCTGAACGTATTAGCAGAAGACAGGGTATGTGTGGGTTAAGTTGAGAGAGGGTATGTGTGGGTTAAGTTGAGAGAGGGTATGTGTGGGTTAGGTTTAGAGAGGGTATGTGTAGGTTAAATTTAGAGAGGGTATGTGTAGGTTAAGTTGAGAGAGGGTATGTGTGGGTTAACTTTAGAGAGGGTTATGTATGGGTTAACTTTAGAGAGGGTTATGTATACAAAAAAAAAAGAACATTTACACTTATTGGTGTATTTGTTTGACTTGTTGAGAACTTGTAAGGCTGGACCAGCCTCTAAGATCCTCTTGGCTCTGACCTTAGGGTATAGCATTTAAAACTAATCTCATAAATTGAAAATACTCTTATGAACACGTCTGTGAATACAGGTTCACAGTTTAAGTGTAAGTTCACTTCCAAAGATGCATGCAAGATTGCAGTTTACAAATACACAGGTTAAGGTGCTTTTGCAGAAAAAAAAATCATCAGCGGTATTTAGCATTTAAAATACATTTTATCATTTAATATAATACATAATTATTTCACAAGTTAAACATATGATAATTGTATTTGTAAACTCATTTAAACTTGTAAATGAGTTTACAATAACAAATTAATATTGAGAAATCCCTGTATTTAATTTTTTTTAGGGTTAAACTTGGCTGCATAACTTAGAAATACTCAAAATCCATCACTGGTTCAAATCTCACGAGTGTAAACTGACTTAGAAGCTGACTTAGAAAAAGGGTTTTCCTTAGTCCAAACTCCATACACACGCACACATATAAATTACATATTTACAAAAATTATCGGATCCTCAACGGAATAATTCCTCAATTTCCAGTTCCCTGCAACTCGGAAGTTACGAAGCAATTAATAATTTACACTATTTTTCCGAATGTAATTGTAATTACTCTCAAGGAGATGAAACTTTCAAAAGTTAATCGTGTCAGATAACTTCTTTTCGTATTTACAAACAGCATTCAATTGTAAGTATTTGAGTCTTTAAAACACACTTAAACACTTATTATAAAATGAGTTTATATCGTTTCAGGCATATTTGCAAAAGTAAATTGAATTGGCTTAGTTATTTAGGTGATGACTAGTTACACTTGGCTCTAAGCTCATTGGTCGCCAAACAGCCAATGAGAATAAGGTTACATTTATTGAGACATGTGATTCGTGTTCAACAACCAATGAACATACACAAATCAAGTGTATTTGTTTACTCTGGCGACTAATCAAGCAATGGCCAAAGAATACAGTTCTCTCTGGTAATTGGTCGACTGATAGCCAATGAATACCAGATATATATCACTGTTTTGATTAGTGCACCAATAGAGAGTGAACACGTCATGTTATACATTTTACCTAAAGCTATTGGTCATCTATTAGCCAATGAGAATAGAAGACTTCAGATGAAGCTATGAGTGAATCCACTTCACACTTCACGCTTCTCATGCTGATGTAAGAGCATTATGAGTATATTATGAGTATATTATGAGTATATGTCTTCGAGCCAGTCAGCAGGCACCAACATTACCACCTGGCTACGTTGATTGGCACGTAGGTTGACCAATGGGCAGGTGCCCCTGACTGATGGACAAGTAGACTTGAGTTAATGACAAAAACAACAAGAACGACAACTGAATTACGTGTCTAGTTCAATGACCTGTTAAGGGCCGCTCGTCGAGGACACCGATGGCAGTGTAGTTAAGATCACATGCAGATAAGGTAGTTAAGGCCCACGGAGGGCCAATGAGGCAGGCGGACGACGTGTGTGAATGATCATATCAGGAGTGTTGCCAAATCTGATTGCTGTCAAGTCTGGTTTGCCGAGAAGTCTGAATATAGCAAAACCTGAATTTCGCCAATTATCAAGGCTTACGCTAAGCCTTTTCCAGTTGAGTCTGAATCATCGCCGGCTATATTCTGTTCGTTGTGGTGTGCACTTTCAGATTTCACAAATATTTCTACATTTTATCAAGTTTTCTGTTTAATTTTTCTCAAGTGGTGTTTCGTTATTACTAACCATCTACTTGTCTCTCCTCGTTATTGTTCTGTCTTGTCTATATCTTTTTCTGCATGACTCTACGTCAACTTCTCTCCAAATATGTGGAAATTCAACAAAACATTTCCATAAGAAATTACTAACTTTTTTTTTGCATGTTATTGAGAGTTTTCATGCATCGTACATCGGCAAGTGCCCTGACATCGTACATCCGCAAGTGCCCTGACATCGTACATCCGCAAGTACCCTGACATCGTACATCCGCAAGTGCCCTGACATCGTACATCCGCAAGTGCCCTGACATCGTACATCCGCAAGTACCCTGACATCGTACATCAGCAAGTGCCCTGACATCGTACATCCGCAAGTGCCCTGACATCGTACATCGGCAAGTGCCCTGACATCGTACATCCGCAAGTACCCTGACATCGTACATCAGCAAGTGCCCTGACATCGTACATCCGCAAGTGCCCTGACATCGTACATCGGCAAGTGCCCTGACATCGTACATCCGCAAGTACCCTGACATCGCACATCAGCAAGTGCCCTGACATCGTACATCCGCAAGTACCCTGACATCGTACATCAGCAAGTGCCCTGACATCGTACATCCGCAAGTACCCTGACATCGTACAGCCGCAAGTACCCTGACATCGTACATCAGCAAGTACCCTAACATCGCACACCTGGCAAGACTCGAGCTGCCATGTCGGGCGCTTGACAGAAATTATCTTCGTCGCATTATTTTAGGAATAATCATCATTCGTGGTAATCAACTACCCCTGCAACTGGCTCTAATCACGCATCGTACGTGCAACAGAAGTCAACTATTGAACTTTTGATAGGAACTAATTATCGCACTTCTGGTAATCATCAGGCATTGTGCATCCGAAAAGAGTCAACCATCATACATTTGGCAGCAATTAAGGGCCATCGAATTGTCAGAAAGCACGAAATGGATTATTATTATTATCGTTCAAGTGTAAGGAATTAGTTATCACACATCTGGCAAGAAATTCTACACCTGATAGGAGGAGTCAGACATTGTACATCTGGTAGGATATTTTTATACCCGGTAATAATGAGCTGATATACAACTGAGCTGAATTAGCCAGCTTACAATGGTTGGAATTATCTGTTGCACATGTCATGAATTATACAACTGAGTGGAAATAATTATCGTTTAAATGTCAGGCATCTGTTATTATCCAAATAGTAGGAATTAGTTATCATACAATGTCAGGAGTTAGTTATCAAAGACAAGAATCAGTTATCGTACAACTGGCAGGAAACAGCTCTCATAAAAAATGGCAGGAAATTTAGCTACTTTACAGCTGTCAAAAATTAGTTTTTGCACACCTGGCAGACACTAGTTATCGCACAAATGCAGACATCGGCAATCGTTCAGCTGGTAGGAATAAGTTATCATACATCTGGCGGAAACTAGTTATTGTACATCTGGCTGGAACTAATTATCGTACATCTGACAGGAACTAATTATCGTACATCTGACAGGAACTAATTATCGTACATCTGACAGGAACTAATTATCGTACACCTGACAGGAACTAATTATCGTACATCTGACAGGAACTAATTATCGTACATCTGACAGGAACTAATTATCGTACATCTGACAGGACCTAATTATCGTACATCTGACAGGAACTAATTATCGTACACGACAGGAATCATATTTCACAACAGCTGTGAATCAATTATCATTCAATTGGCAGGAATCGCATATTTTACAACTATTAGGCACAGTTATTGTACACTTGAAAGGAATCAACACTTGTACAAATCTTGGAAATCAATCATTTATCCCATATTCCTACAATTGTTGTAAAAACCGGCAGTTATAGTGATTGTACATTTGGCAGTAACAGTTATCATACAGCTGGCAAGTCTTGTAATCTCGTAGATATCACTCTACCAGCTACTGAACAACTTACGGTAGTTAAGAGTACGAAATTACGATAACTATACCATGAGGAAACCTTCACCTTAGTGTAACGCAGCAACCCGTCCTCCTGTTAAGATAGTTCTTTTTGTATCTATGTGGACTAACGCACATATAATGACGTAATGGATGATTAGATAATAGAGTTTGGTACTATTTGCTTTATAGAGGCTGAACAAATCAAGCTAAAAACTAAACTTAAATATTCCTATAGGCCTAGTATAGCACATATATGTACTATGTTAGGCCCCAGATAGTGTGTATTAGGGCCTAGGATGGTTAGGTTAGGGTTTATTTAGAAACATAAATACGAAACCTATTGCAGTTTGCCCAAATTCAATAGTACTAAATTCTACATCCTAAATAGCCCATCACGTCAATATATATATTTAACGTGGACGTATTTATATATTTAAATATATATTTAATATATATATTTATCGTGGACCATCACGTTACTGTACAGTACTATTAGTACTGTGTAAACAGGAGGACGGGCTGTAACATGGGGATATCTTGAGATTCTTCTTAAGATGATTTCGGGGCTTAGCGTCCCCGCGGCCCGGTCCTCGACCAGGCCTCCTTTTTTTGTTTCACACTCCCCAGTAAGCAGCCCGTAGCAGCTGTCTAACTCCCAGGTACCTATTTACTGCTAGGTGAACAGAACTATCAGGATGAAATAAACTGCCCATTTGTTTCCGCCTCCACCGGGGATCGAACCCGGAACCTCAGGACTACGAATCCAAAGCGCTGTTCACTCAGGATGATGACAGAGGTAAAATAAATAAACCGTCAGTTATGACATGTTTCACGCATCTGGCATCTATAGCTAAAGTTGCCAAAACTTGCCACAGGAAAACAAAAATAATGTGTATCAGTTTCTGCTGGGCAGCCGAATGACAGTGGCTGGTGGAAGACACTGAATCACACAGTGATAACAATATAGAATACACCACATGTGTATAATACACCACACGTGTATAATACACCACACGTGTATAATGCATCACACGTGTAGTAACTGCAGAAACTTGTATTTATTTATTTATATATATATACAAGAGTTCTTACATTCTTGTATAGCCATTAGCACGCGTAGCGTTTCGGGGCAACTATTAACATTGATAATGTTATAATGTTATAACTGATAACATTGTCCATTTAGTGACTCCAGTGAGGAGAATTCTTATATTTAATCAAGTGAAAAGTCAATGATTGAAGAACAAATAACCCAACCACTGATCCTTAAGGAGTTACTCGTCATTTCTTTCCCAGCGGAGACATGTTGCAAACATCATCCTTAGATCATCTCTAAAATGCACTAAAAAGACTAACATCGAGACAAATTTAAGCCTTAAACCCAAAATTTGTAAACAGGAGGACTTGATGTTCGGAAAATTATCACAAAACAAACAACATGATAAAGATTGGAGACTTTGATGTCCTTTGAGAGATAATCATTAAGATACACACAATAATATCTAAGTTCCTCCTTTATAGGTTCATAGAAAATGGTCAAGATCGTGGAGAGTTGTTATTTCTGTGGCAGCATCGCATTCCTACCGTAAACAACGAAACAGGTTCCTGTCGGTGCCAGAAGAGGGCCCTGTGGGTGCCAGAAGAGGTCCCTGTGGGTGCCAGAAGAGGTCCCTGTGGGTGCCAAATGTCCCTGAGTGAAGGGAGGAGACCCTGACAGTGCCAGGGGGGGGGGGGTCCTAGCATGTATCACGGATAAACAAATGTTCTGTGACTGTCATCAAACACATCGCGAGTTAGGGAAGGGTTTCATAGCCTTGAAGCGCACAAATAACATAATCTCGTTGAGGATTTTTGATGCGTATCATAAACTACTAAAGAAGCCGCGGATAACACTAAGACAGTTCATAAACAGACTGGGAAATACAAGTTTGGCTGGCCCAAGACACAGATGAGCAGGGGAGGCGAGTCCTCGTGCCTCTGGTCAACTCTGGTGCCTCTGGTGGGCTTCTGGCCGCTGCTGTTGGTGTCTGGTACCTCTGGTTGGCCTCTGATGGACCTCTGGTAGGCTCCTGCTGTCTTCTGGTGGCCTCTGATGCCTCTCGTGCCTCTGGTGCCTCTCGTGGCCTCTGGTGGCCTCTGGTCCTGTGGCCTCCAGTGCCCATGGCGGGCTTCTGGTGGCCTTTAGTGATCCTCTGTTGGTTTGTGATGCCTCTGGTGGCCTCTGGTTAGCCTCTGTTATTTTATGGTGCCTCTGGTGGAGACGCTCGTGTCCAGAGACTCAAGAACACAGAGAAGTGTCTGGCGAGGCTCGCCGTGAGACGATCTCGCTTAGGGTGATTCAAGATACAAAAACCCGGTGCTTCAGAACAGTGATTATTCTTGATGCCAGGAAGATGGTGGACGAGGTTAGAAAGAGTCTCTGCCTTGGGAACTTTCTTAAGTCTGAGATTTCTCAGACAGATATTTTGCTATTTCGTACAGCATTCGCTTCACAGGAGATGAAGAAGGTGTGCTAGTTTGGCCGGTGATAGTGGTCCTACTTTGTAACGTGCCTGTCAGGTGTTGTCACTTTAGAGTACTTGTTAATTGGTCTCACTGTGCAAAGCTTTTGTTGTTGATGTTGCAAGGAAGAGGTCATCCTCAGCTGTGTCGTTCCCTCTGGTTGTTGAGGACACCCTTCACGGTGTCCTCTTCCCTCTGGTTGCTGAGGGACTCACTATGGTGTCCTTTCCCCTCTGGTTGCTGGGGACCAACCAACCAAGTTCCACGGAGGAAGATCAACTGGAACAGGGTCAGGCATGTCCTCTTGAAGACTAGATCGACGTGCATGGAAGTCAGGTCGATCTAATGGACCTGACTGACTAGCTCAAGTCAGCTGTCTCTACATGGGGTCGATTACTACTGGCTGTGGTCGACTTGAAGTGCATCAAATTGACTCATATTACATTGTATTAGATCAGGTCAGGTTGACTGGCATATGAGGTCAAACCGACTTGATTAAGACCTATGCGAACTGCAAAAAGGTCAGGCTAACTCCGTCTGAGGTCAGGCCGACTTGCATGCGATGCCTGATTTTCCTTGAACCCAAGTAGCCTTGCAGAGGGTTCAGTAGACTCGCATCGGATCTCGTCGATATCCACGGTGTTAGATTGCCTCTCAATGGGTTCATTATCGCCGGGCATGGTGTCAGTTCGACGGTCGTGGGGTCAGATGGCCTCATGCGGGGTCGCGACGACTCTCAAGGGGGTCACGTCGACTCTCAAGGGGGTCACGTCGACTCTCAAGGGGTCACGTCGACTTGCATGGGGGCTGTGGCGCCCGATACTTCTTGGTCGACTTTCTCGGCGTCTGTGAGAACAAGGAAACGAGAGTTCGGTTAGGAACGCATTGAAGGGTCAACAGATGATGTTAATGGCTCATTCAACTCAGAGGACAGCATAATACACTATTTAATATTTATTAGAAAATACTACTAACTATTCTAAGAGGACTTTTGTGTAAAGGATAAAACACGCTAAAAGATAGTTATAATAGAAAACGAGAAAGACGGGAAACTATGTCTTCATATGTCTATCTTCACTTATTTACTTTGAAAATTTACTTATTTCGTCACATAGTGTTGAGTGTAGAGGGGGAAGGAAGGAATTATCATGGGGAAAGCGCCAAGCCATTACTACTATATAGCACAGTACTCTGGGCACTTTACTAATAATTTACTGTCCTCGACTCACGTGGAGAAGAATAACTGGCAATTAAAGACACTAGGTCAAGCAAGAGGTCAAGGGAAGGTCATCCCATTTGTACGTTTTATACGTACAATTAACACATAATAGGGGGTAGGGGGGGGGGTCGGAGATTAAATATTAGTTTATTTAATTACTTAAATTAGGTATCCTAACTGTGGTTTCTCCCTATTTGAGGCAAACAGAATTGACGAGGCACGTGACAAGGACAATTAAGTTAACGATCACCTACGATCACAGTGACCTTTGACCTGCGTGAGGTGGACTCACAGGTCCACACACAGTCCTCCACCCGACCACACTCAATCCTCCACCCGACCACACTCAATCCTCCACCCGACCACACTCAGTCCTCCACCCGACCACACTCAGTCCTCCACCCGACCACACTCAGTCCTCCACCCGACCACACTCAGTCCTCCACCCGACCACACTCAGACCTCCACCCGACCACACTCAATCTTCCACCCGACCACACTCAGTCCTCCACCCGACCACACTCAGTCCTCCACCCGACCACACTCAGTCCTCCACCCGACCACACTCAGACTTCCACCCGACCACACTCAGTCCTCCACCCGACCACACTCAGACTTCCACCCGACCACACTCAGTCCTCCACCCGACCACACTCAGACTTCCACCCGACCACACTCAGTCCTCCACCCGACCACACTCAGTCCTCCACCCGACCACACTCAGTCCTCCACCCGACCACACTCAGACTTCCACCCGACCACACTCAGTCCTCCACCCGACCACACTCAGTCCTCCACCCGACCACACTCAGTCCTCCACCCGACCACACTCAGTCCTCCACCCGACCACACTCAGTCCTCCACCCGACCACACTCAGTCCTCCACCCGACCATACTCAATCCTCCACCCGACCACACTCAGTCCTCCACCCGACCACACTCAATCCTCCACCCGACCACACTCAGTCCTACACCCGACCACACTCAGTCCTACACCCGACCACACTCAGTCCTCCACCCGACCACACTCAGTCCTCCACCCGACCACACTCAGTCCTACACCCGACCACACTCAGTCCTCCACCCGACCACACTCAATCCTCCACCCGACCACACTCAGTCCTCCACCCGACCACACTCAGTCCTCCACCCGACCACACTCAGTCCTCACACTCTATTGAGTGTGAGGACTGAGGTTGTGTGAGTGTGGTGTGTGTCTCTCTCTCTTCATCTCGGTGGGTAATCCCAGGCGGATGATAGCAAGGCCGCAACAGGTTTGACCACGCTATCTGCGCCGCACTTGACCTCGCTATCTGCGCCGTACTTGACCTCGCTATCTGCGCCGCACTTGACCACGCTATCTGCGCCGCACTTGACCACGCTATCTGCGCCGCACTTGACCACGCTATCTGCGCCGCACTTGACCACGCTATCTGCGCCGCACTTGACCACACTATCTGCGCCGCACTTGACCACACTATCTGCGCCGCACTTGACCTCGCTATCTGCGCCGCACTTGACCACACTATCTGCGCCACACTTGACCACACTATCTGCGCCGCACTTGACCACACTATCTGCGCCACACTTGACCATCAGACATGAGCTGGCCCGCTATGGGAGCCCCCATAGGTGTGTGATAAGTTCTTTATTAGTGTGCTGATACTGGTCGCCGTGACCAGACACATGTTCCACTTGTTACGCTGTTCTCTTGTTACAACCCGCTTCCACCGACACAACCACAACCTCTTCCGTTATCACCACCACCCGTTATCATTTCTGCTATCACCGTGATCACGATATTATTCCCAGCCAAACCAATATTCATTTTGCATATGGCCATGGCTTCTCCAGTTCTCTTTCTGGGGCGACGACTCAAGTTATAATGGGCAAACTTTTACATAGTGGAAGAGGGGGAGTGGGGGGGGGGGGAGGGGGGAAGCTGCCTCTTAGGCACTGTCATGCTTCCTCTGACGTCACTATCTACAAACTTAAGAGAAATTTGTATCGTAATTTCTGTCTTACGGGTTGTTAAGTTCTCAGTTTATGATAAAGTATTGGTGTGTGAATTTCTTCGTTTAGCAGGAGTAATTTTTTTTTTATAATGGCTTTTATATTATATATTTTATTTTTATATTTTAGTTTTATAATAATAATTTTGATACTAGACATATTTGTAGTAGATTTAATAGAGGAAAAAATTGATTGGTTAGAAAGGCGGGGTCCAAGAGTCAATAGCTCGATTCTGCAGATACAAATAGTAAATTCACACACACACACATAGATGTGTGTGTGTGTGTGTGTGTGTGTGTGTGTGTGTGTGTGTGATAGAGCCCAGTAGGCTCAGGAACCTGTACACCAGTTGACAGACAGTTGAGAGGCGGGACCAAAGAGCTAGACCTCAACCCCCGCAAGCGCAAATAGGTGAGTACACACACACACACACACACACACACACACACACACACACACACACACACACACACACACACAACTTGTAATCCCAAGTTACCCCTCTCAAGTGAGAGACTTGAGAGACCGATCAATTAAACATGCCAACACATCACGCTTAACTCGATGACAGAAAACGGTGAACACCTGCCCTCTTTAACACTGTCCTGGGTCTATTCACACGCCAAACTCGACCTTGTTGGCCCCATCTTCAAGCACTACTGTACCAGTAACCTCACAACTTCATCTTGCCGCCCATAACTCTAATCAGACGGTAATTGGACGGTTCCCAAAGCTGTGCCTGACAGGGGGGACTTAGCCAAACCCATTTTTAACCGGGTTTTGTCGCATCCCTGGATTCTTGGGACCGGAGTGACCTCCTTGTGGGCTCCTCTTAAGCATGTCTAATATTGTGAGGCTAAATACGCTCGCTCGCGCGCGAATATTATTATTACTTTAATAATATTCGTTACTATAGCAATAAAGTGGCCCTTATTGACTGATTTTGTTAACTGTAAAACTTATTTTGGATAATAGCAACATCAATACTAATAATAATAATAAGAGAGTAATCACACTAACGTGACTACATCAAATAGAAAATCCATAGGAGCAGTGACGAGGATTCGAACCTATGCGGTGGGTGTTCCCTGCTGACACTCGCCCCCCAGACAATCAGGCCACGCCATGGAAATGGACTGTAACCTGGAGTTCTACTGAACATACGAGTGTTTCCTGAGGCTTCGACTGAGGCCCCGGAACAGGCTGACTCCTTACCACAGCCGCTACAGATTTTCTCAATAATAATAATAATAATAATAATAATAATAATAATAATAATAATAATAATAATAATAATTATTATTATTATTAGTAGTAGTAGTAGAAATATTATTATATTTTTTATTTATTTATTTTATAGAGGAAGAAGTTTTTGTAACATTATCTTTTTTCATTAATTTCATTATTCAGAAATTTAAAAAATGATGCACCAGAAATAAATGTGATACAATAAGGGGGGGGGGGAAGACGGGGGTCAAGAGGTGACGGAGGAGCTGGGGGAGGGGGGGGGGTCAATATAGACCCCCTGCCGTCAGGGGATCCTGGAGTAGGGGGTCAATATAGACCCCTGCCGTCAGGGGGTCCTAAAGGAGAGGGTCAATATAGACCCCTGCCGTCAGGGGGTCCTGGAGTAGGGGGTCAATATAGACCCCTGCCGTCAGGGGGTCCTGGCGGGACATTAACTACTACACTCCATCAGGGAGGGGGGGGGCGTTGTGTCACAGAGTGATGACCCTGCTGACCCCTGCCGGGCCGTCAGCGGGAGGAACAGTGTTGTAACCGCTCTTGTTACTTGGGGGAGGCCAGGTTGGGGGGAAGGAAGGGGAAGGAATCAATCACTTGGACAGTCGGGGGGTATTGAACGCGGACCTGCATGGAAAGGGAGACCGTCGCTCTACCATTCAAGCCCACGTGGTTGGATCAAAATGTACGGGAAAACAGTCGACCGACAAGAAAGTAGTCTGTGTCTCTCTCTCTCTCTCTCTCTCTCTCTCTCTCTCTCTCACTCTCTCTCACTCTCTCTCACTCTCTCTCACTCTCTCTCTCTCTCTCTCTCTCTCTCTCTCTCTCTCTCTCTCTCTCTCTCTCTCTCTCTCTCTCTCTCTCTCTCTCTCTCTCTCTCTCTCTCTCTCTCTCTCTCTCACCACGTAATAGTGAGTGGATCAGAGGCCAAACTCGCCACGAGGGTAAACACAGGAGATGTGCTCTCCACTTCCACCGTCTACAAACAGTTTAATGAAACCGAGAGGGAAGTTAAACTTATTGGAATACTAGGTCACGGAGCAATGAGTTGAATGTACTCAAATTGGTAATACGAAAATGTTAGCATTCAATCGAATTTCTGCCATGTACAAGAACGTTTAGGTTTTGATTTGCAAACCATTTGCAAACAATTAAGAAATGATAATATGTTTTCTTATATTTTTCAAAACTATTTTGCTCGTAAATTTTATATTAAAATTTTTTTTAAATATATATATATATATATATATATATATATATATATATATATATATATATATATATATATATATATATATATATATATATATATATAGGTATATTTTGGTAGAAGTCTTTCTTGTACAAATATGTTGTTGAATATGACCGAAAGGTAAAGATTAATGATTCTAACACGAATCTTCCCAATATTTCTTATGTTTTTCTTCACTGTCGAGGAAAGTTGAAAAATTAACTCTCCAAAGTTCGTTTTCACACTATATTTATGGCCTGATGCCTAGAAGCGTTTCGCAAGGCACTCCTTACATTTTCAAAGACATTTTTTTCCGTACTCTGCCAATGCTTATATTCGCGTGGGGTGAGGTGATACAGGACATGATTGAGCGGAACAAGTGGATCATTGGCACAATGGGTATTAATAGGCCATTTTGTGTGTTCTATCTTCCTGCTTCTGTGCTGTTTCGGGGTCTTGAAGTGACTCGAACCAACACAGAAGCAAAAAGATAAAACATTCAACGTACCCATTCATTCATGTCCTATCAACTCACCCCAAAAAACGAATATATAAGCATTAACAGAGTATGTAAAATTTGCTTACGGGCTCACCATAACCCGTGCTACATGGACATTTCGTTCTGAGAAGCTAAATCTAAATCAACAACATATGTAAAAATTGTCTTTGAGAAAGTAAGAAGTGTCTTGCGAAACGCTTCTTGGCGTCAGACCATATAGTGTGAAAATGAACTTTGGAGAGTTAATTTTTCAACTTCCTCGACTGTGAAGAAAAACACACACACACACACACACACACACACACACACACACACACACACACACACACACACACACACACACACACACACACACACACACACACACACATACACACACACACACATACACACACACACACACATACACACATACACACACACATACACATATATATATATATATAAATATTATCACATGACAAATTTGAAGTACGTCAGTAATAACGATCTAAACTTAAAACAGAAAATGTAAGTATTGTAATTATTTAGTTCAATAACGAAGGGGGAAGATAACAAGAGGAACAGCGTAACATACAACAACAACAAGGCCATGTTGTTGTTGTTGTATTTCCAAGAATACATTTGCTGCTTCGCAATCAAAAGAGCAATGTTTTTACTGACCTTTAATACATTTTATTTGTTCACATTTATCTAAGTGAAGAGAGAGAGAGAGAGAGAGAGAGAGAGAGAGAGAGAGAGAGAGAGAGAGAGAGAGAGAGAGAGAGAGAGAGAGAGAGAGGGAGAGAGAGAGAGAGAGAGGGAGAGAGAGGGAGAGGGGGGAAGCTAGACAGGATTGTGTGTGTGTAAACTTGAAGCTTTTACTCACAAACTCATACAATGTTGGAGAGAGAAGGCCACGTGCTGGGGTGTGAGCGTCTAGCGGATGTATCGTTTCTGAAACAAGACAGACAGACATGTCAGATGGTGCGATATTGTCCTTGTGTGTGTGTGTGTGTGTGTGTGTGTGTGTGTGTGTGTGGGTGTGTGTGTGGGTGGGTGTGTGTGTGTGTGTGTGTGTGTGTGTGTGTGTGTGTGTGTGTGTGTGTGTGTGTGTGTGGGTGTGGGTGGGTGTGTGTGTGTGTGGGTGTGGGTGGGTGTGTGTGTGTGTGTGTGTGTGTGTGTGTGTGTGTGTGTGTGTGTGTGGGTGTGTGTGTGTGTGTGTGTGTGTGGGTGTGTGTGTGTGTGTGTGTGGGTGTGGGTGTGTGTTTGTGGTGTGTGTGTGTGTGTGTGTGTGTGTGGGTGTGTGTGTGTGTGTGTGTGTGTGTGTGTGTGTGTGTGTGTGTGTGTGTGTGTGTGTGTGCGGGTGGGTGTGTGTGTGTGGGTGTGTTTACTATTTGTATTTGTGTCTGCAGAATCGATCTATTAGCTCTTGGACCCCGTCTTTCTAAGCAATCTATTTTTCGTCTATTATATCTATTGCATATATTTATAACACACACTCATCCCCCAGGAAGTAGCCTGTAGCAGCTATCTCCCAGGTACCTATTTACTGCCAGGTGAATAGGTGCATCAGGGTGAAAGAAACTGTTCCCATTTGTTTCAACCTCGGCAAGGAATCGAACCCGGTCTCTTAGGACTACGATCCCCGAGCGCTGTCCACTCGGCCATGAGGCCCCAAGTGTGTGTGTGTGTGTGTGTGTGTGTGTGCTCACCTAGTTGTGCTTGCGGGGGTTGAGCTTCGGCTCTTAGATCCCGCCTCTCAACTGTCAATCAACTGGTGTACAGGTTCCTGAGCCTACTGGGCTCTATCATATCTACATTTGAAACTGTGTATGGAGTCAGCGTCCACCACATCACTGCCTAATGCATTCCACCTGTTAACTACTCTGACACTGAAAAAGTTCTTTCTAACGTCCCTGTGGCTCATGTGGGTACTAAATTTCCTCTTGTTCGCGTCCCGCCCGTGTTAAATAGTTTATCTTTATCTACCCTGTTAATTCCTTCGAGACTTTCATAGATAGTGATCATGTCTACCCTAACTCTTCTGTCTTCGAGTGTTGTGAGGTTTAGTTCCAGTAATCTTTCCTAGTAGTTCATACCCTTCAGCTCGGGGACCAGCCTGGTGGCATACCTCTCAACCTTTTCTAACTTTGTTTTACGATTGCCTAGATATGGACTCCCCGCTGGAGCCGCATATTCCAGTATTGGTCTGACATATGAGGTATACAAGATTCTGAATGATTCCTTTCACGAGCTTCTGAAGGCAGTTGCTATTTTTATCAACCTTGCATACGCCGCTGATGTTATACTTTTAATGTGGGCTTCAGGGGACAAGTCTGGTGTGATATCAACCCCCAGATCTTTCTCTCGTCCTGGCTCCTGAAGAATTTCCTCTCCCAGCTGGTATTTTGTATTTGGCCTCCTGGTCCCTACGCCTATCTTCATCACTTTACACGTACTCGAGTTAAACTCTAGTCGCCCTTTGTTGGACCATTCCTTCAGTCAGCATTAGCTCCAGAGATCCACCTTTCCATCCTCTGATCATTTAATGCAATGATTTATTTTTCTTAATATTTCTCGTCGTACTTTATTTCGATGTTGGTTATTGTGAAGGTCTTGAGAATCTCTTGATGTAGACTATTCCTCTTGTTGGTAGATCTTACGGTAAGGAAGTAGTTCCTTACCTCTGGTCCTGCCTCATCCGTGTCTCCACCCTCCACCCGTGACCTCTGGTACTACTTACCTAGTTGTGTTTGCGGGAGTTAAGCTCTGGCTCTTTGGTCCCGCCTCTCAACTGTCAATCAACTGGTGTACAGATTCCTGAGCCTGTTGGGCTTTATCATATCTATATTTGAAACTGTGTATGGAGTGTGGTCCTACCTCATCCGTGTCCCCAGCCTCCACCCGTGACCTGGGTCCTGGCATTTCTCATTCTGAACATTGCCTCTTTGTCCACTTTCAATTCCTCTCAATATCTTATACGTTGCTAACATGTCTTCCCTGTTTCTTCTATCCTTCAGCGTTAAGTCGAGAGCTCTCAGAGTTCCCTCAGTTCTGGGTTCGATCTTTTCTCTAGGTTTATTATGTGTTTTATAGGTGGGAAGTAGAGGCCTAGGCTGCACATTAACAAAATTATATTACGTAAGGTTCGGTAATTATCAGGAAGAAGCATTGAGTCAATATGTAATATATATGTGGCATTACATAGGCTGTATGTTATGTTCTGGGAACCTCTTTATCAAGGTACGTAACAGTTGCTTCACTTATGCTGCAGACATTTTTCTGACCAAGTATTCCTTAGACTGAGTTACGTAAACTTTCAATTCCTCCTCATGTTCTCTGGTTTCCCTTTTTTATTAACCTGTACTGCCTCTGCCTTTGTATTTGCCTGGGTTGAAGTCTAGCAGCCATCTTGCTAAGCCATGCTGCAGCGTGTACAGATCTCATTGTAGTCTCCTTTGCTTCTAACGCTTCTCATCAATATAGAAGACAATATGTGAGTGTACGAAGGTGCCCCACAAGGCTCCCCCGGATGCTACATAGCCTCTTCTTTAAGGCTGAGGGTCCCTACAAACGCAACCGAGGTGATACCCCTTATATATATTTTAGTTGTATATATAAACATGTATTTATATACATCAACTTACATTGATATACTTCATTAAAAAAAAATGTTGTATGCTAAGACTAAAGTAAAATGAGTAGAATTTTTTCTTAATTCTGCCAAGATCAGTGGAGAATGTTTTATGACCAGGACATAATTGTAAGGAAAAAATCGAGCCTGAATGTAAATTCCAAAAATCAACGTCAAAAATCATATATATATATATATATATATATATATATATATATATATATATATATATATATATATATATATATATATATATATATATATATATATATATAATATTTAGGGGTACCACCACTGGTTTAATTAAAGGGACCCACATCCTCAAAGAAGAAAATAAAGAGTGTTCATAGAAGACCTTGTGGATTCTCACTGAATACTTTAATCTTTTCGTCTCCTATCACCCATATATATATATATATATATATATATATATATATATATATATATATATATATATATATATATATATATATATATATATATATATATATATATATATATATATATATATATATACACGAAAGGAAGAGCTTGAATAGTTTAGTAGATGGTTTACCCAGCAGTACCCGGGTCGACCTGCACCGTGGAGAGGGGGGGGGGGGACCTGCTGCCTGGGTAACAGCTTCTCCTCCGTATTAACCTACCCTGGCTTTGCGCCCTGGCGAGGCCACTCCAGACCGACAACCAGAGCCTAAGACCATAGCCTTCTGAGACTGATGGATGATGCCTACTACTACTCCCCGGGTCGTCCTGGGCACCCCAGATGAATCTGTGTTGAAAGATTCTGTCTGCCTTTCTCTCTCTCTCTCTCTCTCTCTCTCTCTCTCTCTCTCTCTCTCTCTCTCTCTCTCTCTCTCTCTCTCTCTCTCTCTCTCTCTCTCTCTCTCTCTCTCTCTTTCACACACACACACACACACCGTCCACGTGTGAGCCACAACAGTGAGCCCAATCAACCCATTAGCACCAGCTGAGGGTGAGTGAGCGGGGGGGGGGGGGTAAACAGGTGTCTTAGGCTTACCTTACAGGCGAGGGAGGCGGAGGAGAATGCGTCAGTGATGCTGTACTGGCGAGAGGGCGAGTGTAGGTCGAACATGGAGCCCCACGAGTCACTGGAGGGAGAGACACAGTCACTGGAGGGTGATACAGAGTTACTGGAGGAGTGAGAGAGTCACTGGAGGGTGATACAGAGTTACTGGAGGAGTGAGAGAGTCACTGGAGGGTGATACAGAGTTACTGGAGGAGTGAGAGAGTCACTGGAGGAGTGAGAGAGTCACTGGAGGAGTGAGAGAGTCACTGGAGGAGTGAGAGAGTCACTGGAGGTGCGAGAGAGTCACTGGAGGAGCGAGAGAGTCACTGGAGGAGTGAGAGAGTCACTGGAGGAGTAGAGTTTCTGGAGGAGTGAGTCACTGGAGGGTGATACAGAGTCACTGGAGGAGTAAGAGAGTTTCTGGAGGAGTGAGAGAGTCACTGGAGGGTGATACAGAGTCACTGGAGGAGTAAGAGAGTTACTGGAGGAGTAAGAGAGTTACTGGAGGAGTGAGAGAGTCACTGGAGGAGTAAGAGAGTTACTGGAGGAGTGAGAGAGTCACTGGAGGAGTGAGAGAGTTACTGGAGGAGTAAGAGAGTTACTGGAGGAGTGAGAGAGTCACTGGAGGAGTGAGAGAGTCACTGGAGGAGTGAAAGATTCACTGGAGGCAGAGAACAAGTCAGAAGGCTCTAATATTTCATCAAGTTATGAATATATTTTATATTTACGATTAAAACTTATTTTCTTGGTCTTTCTAGTAACGTGTAACGTTTTCATCAATATTATTGATATAATTTACATTTTGTTTTTAATATCACTTTTAATTTATTTGTTTTAAATGTACTTTTATGTACTTTTTATATGTATTTTTTTTGTTATCCACATAAACAGATTGATTTTTGGTTGACAACAAACATGCACAAAAATAACAGGGTTCATTTTTAGATTGTCAGAGATTGACTAAATCTTCCGGGTTATGTATAGTTTCCCACTCAGTATACCACTCAGTATACCATTATCTTCTGTCCCCCACTCAGTATACCACTCAGTATACCATTATGTTCTGTTCCCCTACTCAGTATACCACTCAGTATACCATTATCTTCTGTTCCCCACTCAGTATTCCATTATGTTCTGTCCCCTCACTCAGTATACCATTATGTTCTGTCCCCCACTCAGTATACCACTCAGTATACCATTATCTTCTGTTCCCCACTCAGTATACCATTATGTTCTGTCCCCTCACTCAGTATACCATTATGTTCTGTCCCCTCACTCAGTATACCATTATGTTCTGTCCCCCACTCAGTATACCATTATGTTCTGTTTCCCCACTCAGTATACCATTATGTTCTGTTCCCCCACTCAGTATACCATTATGTTCTGTTCCCCCACTCAGTATACCATTATGTTCTGTCCCCCACTCAGTATACCATTATGTTCTGTCCCCCACTCAGTATACCATTATGTTCTGTCCCCCACTCAGTATACCACTCAGTATACCATTATGTTCTGTCCCCCCACTCAGTATACCACTCTCATCCCACACTCTTAACAGAGCGTCGCATTTTGATGTTCACTCTACCTCAGGCCATAAATTAGTTCACTCTACCTCAGCCCATAAATTAGTACACTCTACCTCAGGCCATAAATTAGTTCACTCTACCTCAGGCCATAAATTAGTTCACTCTACCTCAGGCCATAAATTAGTTCACTCTACCTCAGGCCATAAATTAGTTCACTCTACCTCAGGCCATAAATTAGTTCACTCTACCTCAGGCCATAAATTAGTTCACTCTACCTCAGCCCATAAATTAGTTCACTCTACCTCAGCCCATAAATTAGTTCACTCTACCTCAGGCCATAAATTAGTTCACTCTACCTCAGGCCATAAATTAGTTCACTCTACCTCAGGCCATAAATTAGTTCACTCTACCTCAGCCCATAAATTAGTTCACTCTACCTCAGGCCATAAATTAGTTCACTCTACCTCAGGCCATAAATTAGTCGTACTAGAAAATAGTAGCGGCTCGCGAAATTGACATACTGTCCCCGTTCTCTGTTTTGGATCCTCTGGTTGGTTAGGATAAGAGTGGGGAGGGGGCACTTTAGTAGGACAGTTTCTTGACGTTGGGGAACCTTAGGAGGACGGGCTGGACAAACGTCCAAGCACAAGGAGGTGGAGGGACGTGATCTGTCACATATACCAAACTGATGTGTGAACATTTGCATCCGTAGAACATATGGAACGATCTTGTCAACTGTTGTGTGAACAAAGTTGCTGTATGCTATTATGGGATCAATATATATTGAGGCGTATTGCTTTTGTTCCTTGTGTATCTATACAACTTTTGTTGTATTTGCTATGGAATAGTTAGCAATGATTGCCAGTTATCTATAGGGTTGCAACCCGTTCTCGCACTTGCTTATAGTCAATATTGGGTTATTTAGTAAGTGCATATGTGACATACTAATTGATTGTAAATATTTTAGTTTAACTTGAAAAGCTTCATAGAAAACACCGACCTCACCTAACCTTCTTAGTATGTTAAGATAAGGATCTTATTGCTTCTTATTTACAATTATTACTTAACCTATCAACGGTATAGGTTAACTGTTTTCTATGAAGCTTTTCAAGGTAAACTAAAATATTTACAATCAATTAGTATGTCACATATGCACTTATTAAATAACCCAATATTGACTGTAAGCAAGTGCGAGAACGGGTTGCAACATGAGTGGCTTTGCTCATCGACTCTCAGCGCAACGTATTCTTCTTTTGTTGGTGCTAATTATTATTTTTGTTTTAGTTCATGTGATTATTTTTTGGTTCAAGGTCTATAGGTATAACTAAGCTATTTGTGAAAGCATTGCGTTAGTTATGTTCCTCAGTAATATTATTTCAACCAAGATATGGAAAGTAGTGTTAATGTAAATGTACTCACCTAGTAGTGTACACATAAGCTGTGCTCACACCAGTACTCACCTAGCAGTGTACACATAAGCTGTACTCACCTACTAATGTACACATAAGCTGTACTCACCTAGTGGTGTACACATTAGCTGTACTCACCTACTAGTGTACACATAAGCTGTACTCACACCAGTACTCACCTAGTAGTGTACATGGAAGAGGGTCGAGGCCTACTTGTACTCCTCTCCCGGTACCTGGACGACCCACCTGCGGAAGAAAACACTAAATGTAGTCTAGGCCTATACCGAGCTTGGGCTGCCAAGCTTGGGCTACCGAGTTTGGGCAGCTCCATACACGAGATAACTTCATCTTGGGCACAATTTCCAGCCTCCTCACGGACTCCTATATCAAGCACTCGTCCGAGTCCGTTATCAAAGACTCAGTCCCTCGTTCGAACGTCTGTAGTGTGACTACATCCTTTACACTACTTCCCAGGGAAGTCCAACCTCCGTTGAACTACGCTGGGACAACTTCGCGGAGACTTAGCTCTGCTGGGGTCGTTCTGCATCACAGCTTATTCATTTGGGATGCGCTTTTGACTCTTCCTTGTAGGGTGTATAGTCGCATTGCGCCTCAGATGGTAGGGCCAGCGAGGGTGCCATCTACTCCAATCAACTTGAGCTCAACCCGTGACCTATATCCCTAAGCCTGTCTGCCCTGGAGTTCCCCGACTGGCTTCTCTCCTCAGATAAGTGAGCAAAAAATAGCAGCTGATAATTAATAGGAGCTTTGCAGCCATTAGAAAAAATGCCAGGGATAACACACACTATAAAACACAGAAAACGGAAGCCAATCAGTAAATAACGAGAAGCAAATAACAGCAAGTCGAGGTTAAACCTTAGAAAACGGGAGTTACGGCCCTGAAAGGGGGGGAAGGGGGAACATCACGAGACATGGGTGCTCTTAAAACGCTTTATACAACATACGTGTGACTAGAGGTAGAATATGCATCGCCAGCGTGCCCCCCCCCCCCCAACGGAAATTAGGAGCTATGCTGGTGATCGATGCATATGTAAACGGCAGGGGGGAGCCAGCACTCAAAGAGCAGGGGGCCAGGACTCAAAGAGCAGGGGGCCAGCACTCAAAGAGCAGGGGGTCAGCACTCAAAGAGCAGGGGGCCAGCACTCAAAGAGCAGGGGGCCAGCACTCAAAGAGCAGGGGGTCAGCACTCAAAGAGCAGGGGGCCAGCACTCAAAGAGCAGGGGGCCAACACTCAAAGAGCAGGTGGGGTGGGGGCTAGCACTCAATAGGCAACAGGGGGGGTATATATACACTGAGAGTATACCTTAGTCCTGGACTATGTTCAGGACTAAAGTATACTTAGTGCTTGGTCAGTATGCTATTATGGTGACTTTAATATCTCTCTCCGGATGTTGATATAGGCCTTAATAACCCTCCAGAGGTTGATAGACCTAATAACCCTTCAGAGGTTGATAGACCTAATAACCCTTCAGAGGTTGATGGGCCTTCATAACCCTCCAGAAGGTGATAGGGTTCAGCCCAACACCAACTCAAAGAGCAAGAGGCCAACATTTAAAGACAAAAACACTCAAGAATGATAGCGTAAGATCCCATCAATCAATAGAGGAACAGGGAAAAATTCCATCAATCAATCAATAGGGGATCAGGGGGAAAATTTCCATCAATCAAATTAATACGGAAAGGTCCCTTAAATCTTTAGGGAAAGCAGGAAAAGATCTCATCAATCATTAGGGGACGAAACGTGGGAGATGCCATCAAGTCATTAGGGGAAGCGATAGGGGGGGGGGATGATTTGGGGGGTGGGGGGAGAGATTGATGGTCGTTTACCCATCTGAACCGTGACAGTTGGGACGCTGTTCTTGTGGAGTGAATCTCTCTTCTCAGCCGCCATGGGGGACCCGTCGCTACTGGCGCGAGGCTTAGCGCTGCCTTCTCTATCTCTCTCTACCTCAGTCTCCCCTCCGAGTTCGGAGTCTCGCTCGCTTCCTGCAAGAAAATTAGGTCACAGAGTCAGCCTGGCGGCTTGGCGCTGGCCACCTGATAATTCGGCGGAACCTGTGGTGGTGACGGTGGTGGTGGTGGTGACGGTGGTGGTAGTGGTGACGGTGGTGGTGGTGGTGACGGTGGTGGTGGTGGTGACGGTGGTGGTAGTGGTGATGCTAGTAGCTCCACCTCGCTATAGATGTGGTTGTGAACTGCCAGTGGAGGCCACATCGCGCTGACAAGTGTGTGTGTGTGCGTGTGTGTGTGTGTGTGTGTGTGTGTGTGTGTGTGTGTGTGTGTGTGTGTGTGTGTGTGTGTGTGTGTGTGTGTGTGTGTGTGTGTGCGAACAACTTTGGAAGGTTCGTTTGCCTGTCATTAACTAATATTTAGACAGGTATAGGCGGAAGGAAGTGTTGATTAATACATACATACATACATACATACATACATACATACATACATACATACATACATACATACATACATACATACATACATACATACATATATTCACCTAAAAATACATAACATAAAATAAGCCACCACACGTGGTGCCAGACCCCCACAAACACATTCCTCCGATGCCAGATCCCCCCCCACACATACATTTGTTCAGTGCCACACATCTCTTTAGTGCCAGACCCTCACACATACACACCTTTAGTGCCAGGCCTCCCCCCCCCCCACGCCCCCCCCCCCACACACACATACACACGCGCGAGCGCGGCTCTTCGGGACTCACAAATCCCAGGGACCCACAGTCCCAGATAGTGTCCCAGGTCCCACCTGGTACTCTAGCTGTACTCAGTGTCCTGACAGCAGACATCAACAGGAACTGGTACACGCAGGTACAAGTTCTCCTACAGGTACAGACGAGGTACACGGGGGGGGGGGGGCTGCAGCTACAAGCGCAGGTGTGTGTGGGTGCAGGTGTGGAGGGTAGAGAGAGAGAGATATATGCATGTGTTGGCACAGGTGTGCGAGAAGCATGAGGGCGCTCACAGCGACAAAACGCCCCTCCCTCCCCCCTATATACCCACTACGGACTTTTCAACTGCCTCCATTTGTATCCCCTCATTATCACCTCATGTATGTGTGTGTGTGTGCATGTTACTGATGGAATTATGAGGAACAATTTCTGACATTGAAATTACCTCTCCTTCGTCACTGTAATTTGACTGAGTTAAGGGAATTTGCAGTAATTTATGACCATCGTTATTTTGCCACGAGTAGCTAGCCGGCCTCTTATTGTCCTCAATTGTGTTTCGTGTGTCGAACATTTTCCCAAAGCTCCCGTTTTTCCCTTTGCAAATTATTATTATTTGTGTGTTGATATAGAGACTTACTTCCCCCTTTCTTTCTCAAGTCAGTAATGTTGGGTGTATATACTTTACTGACGACAATTTCTTTATCCAGAAGAACTGGATGTTAGTTTGATTGATGTTATTGATGGTATCATTAGGGACGCACATGGGGCACATTGTATCGTAATTATTACTTGGTAATCCCTGTTGAAATAACAAATATAATCATTATTAGTATTGATTTTGCTGTTAACATTACTATGCTGTAGTCGTAATAGTGGTTGTTGTTGTTGTTGTGGTAGTGGTGGTAGTGATTATTTCACTACAACACACTTCGTAAACAATTACACTTGACGAAGCACTTGGCCCTAATGGATCTCCCGTGAGTCAGTTCCGGACACACTTGTATCACTACCGGGACTGTGTACACCCGCCCAACTTCGTCACGCACAGCGACTTGTTGCATCTGGGACCACACCGAGGTGCTGCCAGACATTTGGGACCACACCGAGGTGCTGCCAGACATTTGGGACCGCAACGAGGTGCTGCCAGACATTTGGGACCACACCGAGGTGCTGCCAGACATTTGGGACCACACCGAGGTGCTGCCAGACATTTGGGACCACACCGAGGTGCTGCCAGACATTTGGGACCACACCGAGGTGCTGCCAGACATTTGGGACCACAACGAGGTGCTGCCAGACATTTGGGACCACAACGAGGTGCTGCCAGACATTTGGGACCACAACGAGGTGCTGCCAGACATTTGGGACCACACCGAGGTGCTGCCAGACATTTGGGACCACAACGAGGTGCTGCCAGACATTTGGGACCACACCGAGGTGCTGCCAGACATTTGGGACCACAACGAGGTGCTGCCAGACATTTGGGACCACAACGAGGTGCTGCCAGACATTTGGGACCACAACGAGGTGCTGCCAGACATTTGGGACCACACCGAGGTGCTGCCAGACATTTGGGACCACACCGAGGTGCTGCCAGACATTTGGGACCACACCGAGGTGCTGCCAGACATTTGGGACCACAACGAGGTGCTGCTGCCAGACATTTGGGACCACAACGAGGTGCTGCCAGACATTTGGGACCACACCGAGGTGCTGCCAGACATTTGGGACCACAACGAGGTGCTGCCAGACATTTGGGACCACAACGAGGTGCTGCCAGACATTTGGGACCACAACGAGGTGCTGGAACACATTTAAGGATAACATGAGGTACTGTGAAGCTGTTAGGGATTGTGTGAGGAACGGTGTGTGATGGGTGGCCGGGGGGGACCTGTGTGGGGGTGATGGAAGAGACTCACCGTAGTAAGCCACAGACGCAGCGGCGGCCGCAGCAGCCGCCCTCGACCTCACATCATCCCGCAGCATGTTGAGGTGTGAGTTCCAGCCGTGACTGGAGGTGTAGCCGCCGGAGTAGCTGGAGAGGTTGCTGGTGCTGCCACTCCAGCCGCTGGAAGCGTAGGACTTGGTCGGGGACTCGAGGTTGTTGCTACTGTAGATGACCTCGCGGGACCCCCACCGTCGGCCGAAGCTGGGGCTAGGACTGGAGGGGTAGTAGGAGGATCTTGAGATGCTTGACGCCCGCTCGAGCCGACTTCTGACTCGTAGTTTCTCACTGTACGAGATCCTGTCGTCCAGTACCGACTGTGACCTGTGTGGTAACTGTTGGTTAGTGGTTATCCTAGTGTGACCTGTGGGGTAACTGTTAGTGGTTATCCTAGTGTGATCTGTGGGGTAACTGTTAGTAGTTATCCTAGTGTGATCTGTGTGCTAACTGTTAGTGGTTTTCCTAGTGTGATCTGTGTGCTAACTGTTAGTGATTATCTTAGTGTGATCTGTGTGCTAACTGTTAGTGGTTATCCTAGTGTGACCTGTGGGATAACTGTTAGTGGTTATCCTAATGTGATCTGTGGGGTAACTGTTAGTGGTCATCCTAGTGTGACCTGTGGGATAACTGTTAGTGGTTATCCTAGTGTGACCTGGCCTAACACTACCATTTTCAACGTCAGTATCAAGAACTATAAATTTTATACTATTATTCAAGTTAAGTTCATTCGGTTAAATTTGTTCAGGTATAAACCCTTATGGAATATTATCATTATACAATGTGTCGCTAAGTGCAGTAAAGAGTAAGTCGTTCTTTATTTCCAAGTGTTGTAGTGCCTTGACATAGCAAGCTGAGTACACTTACTTGAAGATGTCGTCTCCTCTGTAAGTAATTAAGTCTTATTAAGTCTGCACGTAATTAAGTCTTACCTGCCCGAAACGCTTTGCGTAATAGTGGCTTTAGGCATTGTATGTACTAGCCCTATCTATAAATCAATCATTCTTTGTAAAATTCCTTGTATGTATGTACCTTACCTAAATAAACATTTTATTTTATTTTTTTTTATTTTTTTTATTTTATCACAGTGAAACGTCAGCGTCAATAAAGTCAGCTCACTTTGATGTTCCTCTTTTGTCTCTGTCAGCATTTTGTCTTCTATTTACCGTTCAAGCAATGTTCCTGGTTAACAGCTGATTCATTCCCTTCGTTTTTTTTGTAAGTAGTGTGTTTATTGTGGTCTGTTTGTGCTCCAGACACGAGGAACTTTACTGTACGCTCTATAATGGGTTAGCGGCACCACACATGGAAGGGCAAGAGGCACCTTAAATTGAAGGGCAAGGGACAGCACAAATGGTAAAGTCTTACCTTTCCATTCGGTTTCTGACTGTAGTGGAGGACGAGGAGCTCTTCTTAGAATCAGAAGAGGTGGAGGAGGACTTCTTTGTATCGGAGGAGGTGGAGGATTTCTTTGAATCTGAAGAGGAGGTGGAGGAGGACTTCTTTGTATCGGACGAGGAGGTGGAGGATTTTTTTGAATCGGAAGAGGAGGTGGAGGAGGACTTTTTGGAATCAGATGTTGATGAGGAGGAAGAAGAGGTCTTGGCGGAGAAGGATGACGAAGAGGAAGCGTTAGTGTCCCTCTTTGCTGAGGCGTCTGAGACACTGTGAGTCTTCGTTGCCTCTGAGGCGCTGCTGTAGGTCTTAACGGCGACGTCTGCCACAGCAACGTCCTCGGGTGGCGGAGGTGCGGGTCCCTTGTTGTGCCTGGCGGGGATGGGGCTCCTGCTCTGCTGCGGGGCGGCGTGCAAGAGCGGCGAGGTGGGGCGGAGGGCTGGAGGCCGCCACGCCGCCTCACACATGGTCTGAAACAAGAAAGTATCAAAGTAATACATTTCACTCCTCAATATTTAGTGTGTCAAGACTACGACGCCATACCTCTAAACCCCCCACGCGCCCCCACCCTACTGCGACAGAACAATTCCCATAAGGGGGAGAGTTGGGGGGTAGCGCATGGTGCAGTTAAGAAACATCAATAAACGTGAAAAGTTTGTTTACGAGTTTGACAAGTTAAGAGGAAATGGTGCATAAAAGCGTCGAGTGAAGACGCTACTGTTCCACAGAGTTAGTGGGGTTGGCAGTCATTGTTTACCGCTGAAGAACATGTGACCAGCGCGTCAGGAACTTACCTGATGGCTTTGAAATTTCTCAGGAGGGAACACTTGCTTGCAGAACTCACAGGGGATGAGCGCCTCCACCACCTCCTTGGTGACGCAGCTGTTCATCATGGGCTTGCTGTCGAACTTGATGAAGCCGTTCACCTGTGGCTTCTCCTGTGAGGTCTTGCTCGAGGGCTTCTCCTGCGGTGTTGGGCTGTTGACGCATCCCTTCTTCTGTGAGGGCGGGGAGACTGAGGGTCTCGTGTGGCGGGTCTGTGGTGGAGACGACGGGGTCTTGGGCGGCGTCTGTGGGCGGGCGAGCTGTGGCTGTGGTGGCGCGGGAGCCCGGTACTTGTTGGGGTTCTTGATGAAAACCGGTTCGGCGTGGTCAGGTGCGGGCGTGGGCTGTGGCGTGGGGGAGATTTGCTTGACCTGTGTCGTCTTGGCGAGCTGTGGCGAGGGCGTGTCAGAGTCCGAGCTGTGTGAGGCCGGCAGCTGCGTGGCCGAGCGGCTGGTGGTCACCGGTTGAACCGGTTGAGTCTCGTCGTCGACGCCTGTGTCCTCGAGCGGGGCGGTGTTGGAGCGCACGTAGCCTCTCCTGCTGGCAGCGCCCGCGGCCGAGATGCTGCGCCAGGAGAAGATGGCGGAGGAGAGGAGTCGGCCGCGGCGAGGGCGCATATAGGGGCCCTCCTCGCTGTCGTAGTCCAACTCCACGTCGGTGGTGGGCGTGTCAGGAGGAACGAGTTCCCTGTTGTGGGTGGCGGTTGGCACGGGCGATGCCGAGCTGCTGGTCGACGGCGTGGTGGACACGGAGCTGCTGCTGACGGAGCTGTTGCTGGTAGAGCCGCTCGGCGCGGGACTCACGCTGAAGGGCCTGGCGCTGCCGGAACACAGGCTGGGCGACACCACGACAGATGGCGGCTGGTCGACGATGGTGATGGTTGTCGTCGCCGGGGCTGGAAGGGGACTCACAGGCGAAGAGCAGCTTGGCGGGGGACTCCGAACTCCTGTCGGTGTTGGACTTCTCCTGGTTGGTGACACTGGCTTTCTAGGAGGAATCGGAGCCGGACTCTTCCTGTTGCCGGATGGACCCGACTCTGAGGGCTTGGGCGGCATTGGGGCTGGGTTGGGCACCGTGGCTTTCCTCGGCGGGGTGCAAACTGGGGTCGGGGTTCTGCCAGGAGCTTTTCTGGGTCCTGGCGAGGTGGGTCCTGGACTCCTGGGGGGACCGGAAGTGGTCTGAGCCGAGGAAGAGAGAGAAGTGACTCTGCTGCTGCTGGTGCTGCTGGTGCTGCTGGAGACGGAGGCAGCTGTGGTGGCGGCAGCTGTCGACCGCTGCGTGAGGCGGGATGTCCTGGGCAGCTGCGTCTCGTTTTGCTCGCAGCTGGTCTGATGTCTCATGAGGTCTCGTTCTGGGAACATCTCGTCGCAGAACTCACAGGGCAGCATCACAGGAGCCTCACGACGGACAGGTGGCTGCGAGGAAAGAGGCAAGATTACGTAAGAAATTCCATTGTCAAGAAAGGTAGGCCTACCTATCTCAGAACCCAAAAAATATGCCTACTTATTTTCAGAGTCAAGAAAGATAGGCCTACTTCTCTCAGAACCAAGAAAGGTATAAGCCTTAACCCTAAGTAAAGCAAGATAGACCTACATTACCCTAAATCCGTCACCCAGATGAATTACAGACACAAAAGGTTAGGTCAAAGCCATTGGTAACATGACTTTTATGTTACAGTATTCAGAGCACTGTAACCGTCCTTGAACCCGTAATCTGATGCTTCAAGGTGATTTCTGAGTCTCTACTCTGAGTGGCAAGACAAGACGCACAACTGAGTTCCTTACCGCATCTTCCTTAAAGGACACCCTTTTCTTGAGGCCAGTGTTCTTGGGTCTGGCTCCGGTGTTGAGGACGCTGCCGCTGGTGCCCGTATTGGAGTCGCTCGAGGACTTGCTGATGGGAGTACTCCTGCTGGAGGAAGAGGCTGAGGACGAGGAAGAGGCCGAAGAGGCTGCAGTGCTTCTTGGGGAGGCTGGAGGCCGACGCGAGCTGCCCCTGGAGGAGGGTGAGTCAGAGTCCTCTGTGTCGCTGCTGCTGCTGCTGCTGTCCGACGAGCTCTCCTGTAGCGGGACAGTACAACGATAAACGCTGAGTGGTTAAAGTACGGGGCAGGCAGGCCCTGGCTGACCGGGTTAGAATCCTTCAGGGGGTCAAGAGTTTTATGATTACTGGATTATCCGGTTACTGTATTAACGTTCCCTGGGCTCATTTCCCGCGTGTATGGGGATGAAATACATATATACACGTATAAGCTTTAACTTAGGGCTATATACAGCCATCCTGGTTGGGCACGTATATTTGATAATTATTTACCTATAATTACCTATAATTGTGATAACACTTGAGTCGTACCTCGGCCTCCACACAGCCCAACCAACAGCATCCTGTTTTAGAAAAGTTGCCTTGGGTTCTTGCGCATATTGGTGTGTATGGCCTTCCAGTGCGTGATGCAGGCAAGGGTGTATACAAGGCGACGCCCCTACAGGCATGGGAAGGGACACCTACTGCTCTTACAGGCATGGGAAGGGACATATACCGCTCCTGCTGGCATGGGAAGGGACAGCTACCTCTCCAACAAGCATGGGAAGGGACAGCTACCTCTCCTACAGGCATGGGAAGGGACAGCTACCTCTCCTGCAGGCATGGGAAGGGTCATCTACCGCTCCTACAGGCATGGGAAGGGACAGCTACCTCTCCTACAGGCATGGAAAGGGACACCTACCGTTGGTTCCGGCATGGAGAGAGAGCGCCTGAAGGTTGGCCGGTGTTTACGGTTGAACTCTGAAGCCGGGAGGTCGTCCTCGGCCTTGGCTAGCTGGAAGGCCAGCCATCTATCATACTGCTCCTGCGTGGCGTTCTTGGGCGGCTCCACACTGCTGGAACCTGGAAAAGCAAGCTTACCTCAAGGTGGTGTTAAGCTTTCTGCTCCCCCCCCTGCACTCTGTGTCACAGAGACCAGCCAGCTAAAAGCCGTTACCCGAAAATATGGTCAGTTAAGTTCAAAAGATAAAAGGAGGTTCTAAGTGTCCTTCAAGAAATTCTTATTGTCGTTGAAAGGTTGAGTGAAGCACGCGGGCTTAACACATCTGGCTGGGAAGGACTTGCTGTTGGTTTAAAGTTTGAAGGACCATTCAGAACAAGCCTGAATGGTCCCCAGGCATATATGTAACCGAAAACTCACACCTCAGCGGTGACTCGAACCCATACTGCCAGGAGCACTATGCAACTGGTGTACAGGACACCTTCACCACTCGACCATCACGACCGTTCAGGAATGTGTACTTACGAAACCTGTACATCTTTCTTTAATCATGACGGCTTAGTTTACATTTATTACACGGTTTCCGAGCTCCGAAGCCCTAAGAGGTAGTCTATAACAGTCGAGTGTAATTGGGTCGTGACCGACCTCGCGGCGTTACCAGGCTCCTCAGCTGTTAAATAAGTGTAAACTAAGCCTACCCGTCGAACACACTCACCCGTGGAACACACTCACCCGTTGAACACACTCACCTGTTGAACACACTCACCTGTTGAACACACTCACCCGTTGAACACACTCACCTGTTGAACACACTCACCCGTTGAACACACTCACCTGTTGACCACACTCACCCGTTGACCACACTCACCCGTTGAACACACTCACCTGTTGACCACACTCACCCGTTGACTACACTCACCCGTTGACCACACTCACCTGTTGAACACACTCACCTGTCGAATACACTCACCTGTTGACTATACTCGCCCGTCGATCATACTCACCCGTGGAACGTGACGAGGCTTTGGATGCGGTTCTGCCCGAGCTGACAGAGCTAGATAGAGCCGATAGAACAGAGAAGGTCTCCAGCGCCAGGGTCGTCGGCCTCCTGGGGCGCGCGCCGTTGGAATAGGAGGAGGAGGAGATGGAAGAGGAGGTGGAAGAGGAGGTGGAAGAAGAGGAGGAGGAGGATGTAGTTGTGGAGGCAGTTGTCTGGGATTTAATAGTGGCAGTGGCCCTTGTACCTGAGGTGGTGGAGGCCAGTGACGTGCTCCTCGTACTGGATGTCACGGCAGTGGACCTGACGGAGGAGTCCTTGTGGGTGCTGTTTACGGTTCTTGAGGAGGAGACGGAAGACGGCTTGTAGGAGGAGGTTGTGGTTGTGGTGGTGACGCGTGGAGGGGGAGTGGTGGTGGTTGTGGTGCGTGGGGGAGAAGTGGTTGGTGTGGTGGTGCGTGGAGCGGGAGTGGTGGTGGTTGTGGTGGTAGTGCGTGGAGCGGGAGTGGTGGTGGTTGTGGTGGTAGTGCGTGGAGCGGAAGTGGTTGTGGTGGTGGTGGTGGATGTCTTCGTTGAAGTGGAAGCTGTTGAAGTCACAGACGACGAGGAGGAGCAGCAGCAGCAGTCATCATCCTTAGTGGACTCCTTATCGGAATCCTTGCAGGAATCTTTACAGGAGTCTTGACAGGAGGTGGTGGTGGTGGTGGAGGAGGAGTAGGGGGTGTAGGAGGGGGGAGTGTGGGTGTTGGCTGGCCGCTGGTAGCGGTAAGACGTGGCAGAGGTCCGTGTCGACAGAAGGGCAGACACCATATCTGGAAAACCAACACAATAAGAGCCTGGAATGTTTGCCGGCAGATTCCAGGCGGAATATTGCTCGTAGGTACCCCCTGTAAGTCAGTAAACTGACAAAATATGTAATTATAAACGCTGGTTGTATTATTTGTGTCTAGAGAGTTACACTTTTGGTGCGTTGCTTGGTCAAGTTTGCTTAGAGCTCCAGGAATAGTCCAGGCCCCGAGGCCTCTAAAGCAATCGTCTCAGATTCGCGTCCTCCAAGCAGAATTGACTGGAATAACGAAATGTCCAATCGAGAAATAGCAGAACATTTTGGATATTATCCATGGACGTTCTTTTAACACTCGATATATGAGTTTTGACCTATAACTTCTGGAAACACTGAAAACAAAAGAAATCTGGAGTTCCTGGAACAGGAACCTACCGCTTATATCCACCCTTACTGAAACAATACCTTCCTTTGCCGATGGCCTCAGACACGAGCGCTCTCGCCAGCCTGTCCCCCACCGCTAATCAGGGACTAACAGCTCCCAACACAAGCAACAAAGGACTTACTAGATAGAGTTAGATAGTGTTCATATAGCTTCTAGAGCCAGCAATATCGTTGGGGGGGAAGCGTGTGGAGGGACGCTACCGAGCGGGAAACTCATATCAACAACCCACGTTACGAACTTATGATCCAAGTTCTTTTATGGCGGGAAGATATTAGCGGTCCTTGCTAGTCGGGCTTGTGTATGAGGTCGGGCTTATGAAGCATTTCTCTCCCTCCTCCTCCAGTTCTCAGGGGACTTGGGTGAGCGGCTTCCCTATATAACTCACACACCTCAAGACTTGATGGAAAATCCGTACTCGGTTTTCTTATTTCGTTTTCCCTTTTTTTCCCCCTTTTGTTGTTGTTGTTGGCTCTAAATGTGCTATCCACCAGGTGGTGTCTCTCGCTGCTGCTTCACAAGGGATGCTTACAGGATATCAGTTACGTCATTATTTTGGCGAGATGATAACAGTTATCGAGTGTAATCAGTTATATGAACGGTAGTTATGGCGTTATGTGGGTATAGTGAGATACTATAGACAGTATAGATATATATAGACTAAATCTATAGTAAATATAGATATATATAGACTATATCTATAGTAAATATAGATACCTATAGTAGATATAGATACTATATCTATAGTATCTATAGACTATAGATACTATATAGACAGGGAGAGCTGGTGAGGTCGGTCGGCCGGAGAGAAATGCTCATCAATTCCGTGATATAGGATTCAATTATCTTACAGAATTTAATCCTGACTTTCGCTTGGAGTTCCTAGTGTGTTATTGAATTTAGTTGGCTGGTTGAGTTGACCTTTGATGACCATTGATGACCTTTGATGACCATTGATGACCTTTGATGACCTTTGATGACCATTGATGACCTTTGATGACCATTGATGACATTTGATGACCATTGATGACCTTTGATAACCATTGATGACCATTGATGACCTTTGATGACCATTGATGACATTTGATGACCATTGATGATATTTGATAACCATTGATGACATTTGATGACATTTGATGACCATTGATGACATTTGATGACCATTGATGACCTTTGATGACCACTGATGACCATTGATGACCTTTGATGACCATTGATGACCTTTGATGGCCTTTGATGACCATTGATGACATTTGATGACCTTTGATGACCATTGATGACCATTGATGACCTTTGATGACCTTTGATGACCATTGATGACATTTGATGACCATTGATGACCTTTGATGACCATTGATGACCTTTGATGACCATTGATGACCATTGATGACATTTGATGACCTTTGATGACCATTGATGACCTTTGATGACCTTTGATGACATTTGATGACCTTTGATGACCATTGATGACCTTTGATGACCTTTGATGACCATTGATGACATTTGATGACCATTGATGACCTTTGATAACTATTGATGACCATTGATGATCTTTGATAACCATTGATGACATTTGATGACCATTGATGACATTTGATGACCATTGATGACATTTGATGACCATTGATGACCATTGAAGACATTTGATGACCTTTGATAACCATTGATGACATTTGATGACCATTGATGACATTTGATGACCATTGATGACCATTGAAGACATTTGATGACCTTTGATAACCATTGATGACATTTGATGACCATTGATGACATTTGATGACCATTGATGACATTTGATTACCATTGATGACATTTGATTACCATTGATGACAATTGATGACCATTGATGACAATTGATGACCTTGGTGAGCTCACGTGACAGCTCACTCAGGACCCCCCCCCCCTAGTCTGTAACTGACGATATCATCTTTCTATTGTAAGTCATCTTCTTAAAGTATATCATTTTCCCATAGTATATCATCATATTATAGTATATCGCCTTCTCATTGTATATCATCTTATTACGGTATATCACCTTCCCATTGTATGTCATCTTTCTATAGTATATCAACTTCCTATAGTATATCATCTTCTTCAGTATATCATCTTATAGTATATTAACTTTTTATAGTATATCATCTTTCTATAGTATATCAACTTCCTATAGAATATTACATTATTATTTTAATTTAATTTGAAAATACATTTTTAAAGTGTTCAACCTACATTTTAAATCTACAAATCTAAAATTACAATTACAGATCAAAAAATCCAGCTAGATACATCATATAAAAAAAATGCTTTTTGCTATTCTAAATCAAGATAAAGTTTTTTGAAGAACTGTAAAGCTAACACGTAAAATATACAGAGCCAGAAATATAATTAAAAGGGTGCTACGTAAACCGCTTCAGTTTACCGTCATATTCCTGAGTTGTGTGGTGAGCGAGGCGCCGAGGGGTGGTGGTAGTGGTGGCTCTACTTGGTACACTGTGGCTCCGGGTAGTCTTCTTGTTCCTCGGTTTGTTCACGTAGTTCTTGATGATGTCCTCCTCCCGGCAGAACCTGCAGGGGAAGATTTATAGATTTAAAATGTAGCTTGAACACTTTAAAAATGCATATTCAGATTTAAATTAGAATTGGGGACGGTGTGCAGGACAAACATATAAATTGTGACACTAGCTCTCCACATATGTCAGTTGCTTAATTTAGAACCTGTACTTGAGGTCGATCTCGAACCCATTGTTGATGTGACGACTTATATTAAAGTTTGTAACTAGCTCATCAAGACTGTAACTTGCTTAGCTAAATGAATTGTGGGGTTCAATCCCTGAGCCCATTTTGTGCCTCTGTAACCCTTTCCACTACCGCCCACAAGATGGGTATGGGGTGCATAATAAATGAACTAAAATAACTAATTAGAATAAGAATGTAATATTCTATAGGAAGGGAAGGTTAATGGCGGGCGAGGTAGACCGAATCTCGGAATTTAGGGAGTGTTGACGTTTTTCGATCCGTCTTGGGGGGGTCGGATCGGATCGGATTTTGGAGTCGGATCGGATTTACCGAGGCATTTATTTACTAGTTTCTCCCTGGTGGTGGTACCTAGAGGGGGAATAATCACCCCTCTGGAGGGGTTATTAAGGCCTATCATCCTCTGGAGGGCAAGTAAAGGCTATCACATTCTCAATGATAATTAAGGCCTATAGCAACATCTGGAGAGAAAGATATCAAGGTCATCATAATAGCATACTGGCCAAGCAGTAAGTATACCTCAGTCCTGAACATAGTTCAGGACTAAGGTATACTCACAGTGTATATACACCGAGAAGCAGGGTACATCTCTCAGTGTATATACATCCTGAAGACTATGGGTAAATACCCACCTGATATCCTCAAGACTATGGGTAAATACCCACCTGATATCCTGAAGACTATGGGTAAATACCCACCTGATATCCTCAAGACTATGGGTAAATACCCACCTGATATCCTCAAGACTATGGGTAAATACCCACCTGATATCTTTAAAACTATGAGTAAATATCTATCAGATATCCATAACTCACGTCAAACCTGAAACTATGCACAATTTTGCTACACTTCCACTTGATTAAAAGAATAAAAAGCCTCACCTTACATGCTTATATCCTTGTATTCGAATAAACGTTCCCTTCACCTTATATCCATGAGCATACCCATGGGTATAGACTTCTCCCTCTCACCTTATATCCATGAGCATACCCATGGGTATAGACTTCTCCCTCTCACCTTATATCCATGAGCATACCCATGGGTATAGACTTCTCCCTCTCACCTTATATCCATGAGCATATCTCTGGGTATGTCTCTCCTGCATATGGCACAGTTTTTGGTGGTGTTGGCGATGCCCTTGACACACACCATGCAGAAGATGTGCCCGCACTCCAGGGGCAGCGGAAGGGTGACGGGTCCCAGACAGATCGGGCATTCCTCGGAACCTTCGTCGTCAGACCCATTCTGACTGCCTGCAAGACAGAGACACAGAAAGGTACAGACGGTGTAGAAAAAAAGTGGTGATCTAAGAGGGGGTTGAACTTCCCGCCCCTTCTTGTGTAAATGTGTTTATATTAGCAGATAAAAAGAAACTGTCTGAAGAATAAGAGGTAGAAGATGGGTTTCTACCGTCTATCTTCGTAGAAGAAAAGTGAGAGAGAGAGAGAGTCTTATATAGACAGGTGAGACCTGTTGTCTCTTCTCGTTAAGAGCCGAGAGGCTTATACATATAGACAGGTGAGGCCAGACTTACGACAGTACCCACCTTTATCCTCGGGCTTGAGGTACTTGTGGTCGTTCTCGTAGTGGAACTGAAGGTGCTTGAACTGGACGTACTTGGTGCAGCCCTTGCAGCGCTCGGTGCGCGCCTCGCAGTACTCCAGGTGGCGCTGCAGCTCCGCCGCCGTCACCTCCAGCTCGCAGTGCTGACAGGGTACCAGGCGCCTCGGGCACTCCTCCTTCTGTACGGGCACACACCAGGTCAGCGCCGGTCACTTCACGTAAACATCACAGGTGATATGTGTGTGTGTATATTCCTGGCATTTAACGCGGATACCAAATATTACAAAATAAAATATATACAAAATTGAGATGACAACAAACAAGAATTATAAGCGAGAGATATCCCAAGAAGCTATGATAAACCCGTAGATTTTCTTTAAGATGTATAAGGTCTTAGAATTAGGTCGTTTGACAGGTAACGAAGAAGAGCAAGCTGGTAAAGTCTGAAACAAGCAAGCTGGCTGATCGACGAATTGGGTGGTTGAGGAAGTCTGGGCGACGTCACGGGTAATTTAGGCTGCCTGGTCGACGTCTAGAGTGGGTGCCCTGGAAACACAAACCGAAACTGTCTCTATTTTTCCGCTTGTTACAACTTGTAATAAAGTTGTTACATCTTGGCTTAACGTGTTTATGACTTATTAGAACGTTGTTACAACTTGCTATATTGGTTGTTATAACTGGTTAGGAGGTGTTAAAACTTGTTCGAACGTTGTACCAACGTCGTAGTTTCGGTGTGTGTTTGGCGGGTTAGGACGTTAGGTCGTCGACCTGGATGGCTGGGGCACCCTCGTCGTCAGACCCATTCTTTTTGCAGTTTCTATTTTGCAGTTGTAGTTTCTTCTATAGACCCTGTGTGTTAATATGTGCGAGACAGCACATGTTGTTGTTGCTGCGGAGGGCGGCCGTGCCCCCAGGGGTGCCCGGGGGTGTCCCAGGGCACCCTGGGGGTATAACGCAGGTCTGGCCACGTAAAGGAAAATCTCCAGCCGCTGTAAAAATACGCACAAGGAAGGCCGTTGTCGGGGCGGTCCCTGAGCCGGGTGCCAAGTGGCCCCCCCGTCCGCCCTCTTCCCCCCCCCCCTCTAACCACTCCGTCTTGCCCCCCTATCCCTTCACCCCTACCCTCTCCCACCTCCCCTCCCCTTCCCTTACGTCCTCACCCTTTTTTGGGGTGGGGTGGGAAGGGGGTTTGAAGTAAAGAAGATGGAGATGTACAGATGAAGGGAAAAGTTTTGGAAGTGTGGAATATAGTTTGAGTTATGATAGCAGGCGGGCTGACACGATAGCAGGCGGGCTGTCCGCCTTGCTGACACGATAGCAGGCGGGCTGACACGATAGCAGGCGGGCTGTCCGCCTTGCTGACACGATAGCAGGCGGGCTGTCCGCCTTGCTGACACGATAGCAGGCGGGCTGTCCGCCTTGCTGACACGATAGCAGGCGGGCTGTCCCCCCTTGCTGACACGATAGCAGGCAGGCTGTCCCCCTTGCTAACACGATAGCAGGCGGGCTGTCCCCCTTGCTAACACGATAGCAGGCGGGCTGTCCGCCTTGCTGACACGATAGCAGGCTGGCTGTCCGCCTTGCTGACACGATAGCAGGCGGGCTGTCCCCCTTGCTAACACGATAGCAGGCGGGCTGTCCCCCTTGCTAACACGATAGCAGGCGGGCACGATGTGTGTGTGTGTGTGTGTGTGTGTGTGTGTGTGTGTGTGTGTGTGTGTGTGTGTGTGTGTGTGTGTGTGTGTGTGTGTGTGTTTGGTAGCTAAGCTTGCTCTCTCTTGTCAGAAAGCTACGAGTGTCTGTAAGCTCTGTAGCGTTCACATAAACACACCCGGATACTTGTGGCCATGTTTTTTTTTATTTTGTTTTCTGGGGGGGGGCTTGCGTGTTTTTATTTCATCTTGCGTTTATGTATTGTGGGGCCTGGTTTCTGTTGAGTAGATCCTAGCTCTTGGGCCCCCAGCTGTGGGGTGGGCCGTCTTATCTTAGAGTAATCTTTGTAACATTAGATCTTCTAGCATTTCGATGGTGTTCCACACCCTTGATGGCTTGGTGTTGTGTTCCACACCCTTGATGGCTTGGTGTTGTGTTCCACACCCTTGATGGCTTGGTGTTGTGTTCCACACCCTGGTTGCTTGGTGTTGGTTCCACACCCTGGTGGCTTGTTGTGTTCCACACCCTGGTGGCTTGTTGTGTTCCACACCCTGATGGCTTGGTGGAGTTCCTGGATTGTTTGGTCATACGGTGGACGGTGTTTACCTGCTCGTCTTAGTGCCTTGTTCCCCACTGCTTGTGGCTTCTTAATCACTGTTGATTTTCTTTAAGGAGTGTAGTGTTGCTGGAGGTATTCCAGATGCTGACGAACTGGAGCCTTGTACAAGTGAATATTTTCGGGCCAAGGTTAAGGAACCTTCTCAGTTTGCTTAAGGCTGCTTTTGCTTTGTTTATTCTGCCAGTTAAGGGGAATTTTCATTCCTGTTCTGTTGATCTTGAGCCTCAGTATTCTGCCTACATCCGTATCTTGGATTGGGCGGTTG